TTTGAAGACAGAATTGTCAGTAGAGGACTGTGGCCTCCCAGATCCCCAGATCTCAGTATTTCTGATTATTATCTTTGGGGCAACCTGAAGCAAAAAGTCTACAAAAATAATCCCCGCAGCATTGATAGTCTTCAAAATGAAATTACACGCGTAATTCATTCAATTACCGTCGACGAACTGCAGAGAGTGTCGCGTAATTTATTTGTGAGATGCGCGGCATGTTTGCAAGCAGAAGGAGGTCACTTTCAGCACCTGTTATAAACCACGGTAAGTTATCTTTTTACTGTATTCTTATAAATGTGTGCATGTAGAGCAACTGATGGACGGAGACTCAGCGACACCACTACACTCACGCTATCGGGGAACGGCACTGCAGTCGCGGGGAGGAGTTGCATCCGTTCTGCGGTGGTATGACTCACGGCAAATTGCAGCCGCGGCGCGCACTTGATTGTACGCACTGTATATTTGTATTTGCTGCCTACACTGGCTGCAGGTAGTACTAATTCTGCAGCAGACCAATCTACCAACAGCAGTTTCTCTGTCACCAGTTGTCATCATTTTCATAAAAAATGCTTACTTATAACAACTTCTTAAAACCTGTACTTCACATTTTTTCGGTACTGGACACTATGTGTTCCTGTTAAACATGAATGGATTAGGAGTAGGAGGAGCCCACAGTAATAACATATTTTTATATTTACATAAGGAAAGAAATGCTTGTGAGAGTGCCAGGTTATTATGAGCGGGAGCCAAATTTCAGAGAAGTTTGTATAAATTTGCAATCTTAATCTCTCTCCTCCAGCACTCTCTCTCTCTCACACACACAAACGATACTATAACCCTATTTTTTCTTGTAAAACATGCGAGGATAATAGTAATATTTCTGATGAGTTAGTAAACCAAAGTAACACAACTCTTTTCTTGACCATCACAACACAACAAACAGAAAAAATCAAGGTTAGCGCCCAGCTATGGTTTCGCTACGTTTCAGCCACTAACAGCCATCATCAGGCAAACACATATTAACAAACATATACCACTGAACTGCTGTACATTAGATTGGACACAATGTCATCAATCATTCAAAATACTTTGCTTAAAAATACAATATGTGAGATTATATAAAAACTAAAAGTTATTGTATAAAACAAGATAAAACTTAATTGATGTTATATAACATCGAATCATCTGTTTGTTGTGTTGTGATGATCAATAAAAGAGTTGTATATTTTAACACAACAGGATGCACGAAATGGAAATTAAAAAACACCAAAGTAATATGAATTCTGATTTTCTTAAACAAAATCAGGCCTAGATATGAACATACTGCTGAAAGTAAACAACCAATGATGATGAAGGGGAGACAACTGCATTCTCTTTGAAATGACATTTAATCGGCTACTAGGATTTCATGTTTTGTGTGAGTGGAAAACCTGGCCTCTCACTTTGAGGGAGGAACATATGATAAGTGAAGTTAGGAGAGAGAGTCAGTAAACAGGTCACAAATTGACATAAAACAGATGTAATATAGTTTCTACGTCTATCAGTAGGTAGCAGCAGTCAAAATGGCAACTATTTAGGGGTATACCACCAAAGAGCAGTGTTCTGTTGCCTGTTTTTTGGGGGGCAAAAGGACTCAATGGAAAGACTATTCATAAAGAAATTTTTCCTGTTTACGGTGGTGTTTCTTGCAGAAATCGGTTCACAACTGGGTCAAAAAATTCTCTCAAGGAAGTTTGAAAGTCATAGATGATATCCAATGAGGTCACTTTGTTCAGATTGCAACAGAAGCAACTGTGCAGCCTGTAGAAGAGTTGATTCGAGCTGATAAGGATAGACAGTGTAGCAAGTGCACTAGGTTGTTCCCATGGCTTAGCATACAGCATAATGCATGATCATTTGAAGTTTGTGAGAGTGTACACACAGTGAGTGCCCAGAGAACTGAACCTAATGGGTCTCTCCTTTAACATCTCTTATGGTATGCAGATGAAACGAGAAGATATGCTTAAGAGGATTGTTACTCTGGATGAATCATGGGTGCATCACTACCAACCCTAATTAAAGTATGCTTCAATGCAATGGTGGCAAACGTTTTGCTGATGTTGAAGAGGTTGAAATGGAGGTGCAGAAGTGGATGAGACAACAGCCCAAAGACATATATGCTGCGAGTTTCGACACAGTGGTAAAGCAATGGGACAAGTGTATCAATGTTGGTGGAGATGTCAAGAAATAAATGTTTCTTCCAGGTTCGAATATCAGGTTTTACGTTTCACAACCACTCGTGACCTATTTACTGACTCTCCCTTGTAATAAGGGTTTGGAGATTATATAATGAGCTTCATACTTTGTAATCATATATTGCTAAAATGGTTGGGTTATTTTACACTGCTTTCAGCAACCAGATTATGTAAAGTCAAATGGTGAAATGACTGATGAAAGTGTGAACCAGAAAAAAAATGGAAAAAAAAGCTGTCATGGCATTGGGGTATGACAACATTCCCATGCCATTTCACATCATCTGGCCCACTTGGCTGCCTATTGAGACCCTCTACTGCCTTTCCTACTTAAAATTTGTTAAGTACTTACTTACTGGAGCCAAATTAACCTCAGTTAATAAATTTCATTTATTAAGCCTTTATCCCATTATCCCTGAGATGGTGGGGTGTGAGGTGTAAAGTAGGACTCAGATCAAAAGGTTGGCATCTGGTATTATTTGGGAATTTGCCCACGGGGACTGAATGCCACTGTCCTTGCTAAGATTATAATGATCACCTCCAGAAAACAAGCCTACAGCACATCCTCTATATGAAACTGCTTAATCAAGATGCAGGAGATGGATGAAATATGTAGCACACACACACACACACCAGAGAAATGATGGACGAGTACCATATTTTGTTAGGAACTCTCAATGGAAGTGAACCCTTCCAAGACTCCAGTGTACAGGAAGGATAATTCTAAAATGAATTTCAGAGAAATACTTCATAAACACAGGACTAGATTCAACTGACTCAGGAGAAGGTACCATGGTGGGTTTTCCTGAATATGGTAATTAATTTCAGGATTCTATTAATGCAGATAATTTATCACCAAAATAACTCATCTAGTCATGACATGATACCATGGAGATAGGCATTTGAGTGAAATGCTGTTTATTTGTTTTGACTTTTGTACCTTGTCTGACATAATGAATGCCACTAAATAAGCGTTTCCAGTAAATTTATAGTTTCCATGTCATTCTCCTTGCATCTATGAGCTTGGGAAGTCCAATGAAACTCACAGGCCCACAATAATCCAAGTCACCAAGTTTATGACTGACAAATGACAGACCCGACCTCTCGTCAGAGGGGGCGCCCCAAATGAACAGGACAGTAACTTTCATACAAAGAAAAAAAAATCTGGTCATGAGTCCCAATCGGGGCTCGACACCAAGATAGACAGATTGACTGACCGTCAGTCGCAATGTGACTTTGACTTTGACTTCAGGAGTTGAGTTTGAATGTAGTGATTGCCGAGTGAATAGCCACAGTAAGCCACGAACAAACCCTGGACAACATCAAGAACCTCCCCATCAAGATAGACAGGCAGCACAAAATCTGCCCCATACAAGGACGATAGGAGTACGGACACGAACCTACGTGGTTTAAAAAATTTTAACTATTGACAATAAAGGTTTTTTAAATAACATCTAGAAACTTTAAAACTTTACAACACCAGGAAGCTGCTGTGATTGTCAAATGTTCGACTTTATGCGTACTGTGCATTATAGGATATAATAAGTGTATGTATTTTAAATCAAAACACCTATTGTGATGGTAGTTTCCAGTTTGTAATGATGTTCCCTCTGAAGATGGCCCGTAAGGACCGAAACATGTAAGGGAGATAAGTTTTAACGTAGTGAAAACTTACATGTCACATTGGACGGAGTGGTTTGTATTTATAATTGTTAGTGTGATGGACCAGAATGAAACAAATCAAAATTATCACATAATTCTGCTTCTTCCACTTTCGTATGTTCCATATTTTGTAGTTAAAAAATGTCAATCATTTTACCCACTTTCTTTCCAATTCCTACATTTATATCTTTCCTTCTGTCCACCGTCATTTCTGTTTTCCTTCCAATTCTTCAAATACTTATCCAGTAAGCTGACCACCTATGTATGTACTCTCATGTTCACTTTAGACTCTTCCTCTATCTTCCTCTTCCTCTGTCTCTGTGTGTGTGTGTGTGTATACTTTTCACTTGTGAACCAGGTGACAAATTTTTACAAAACTTGGTATGACTGTTATGCTCCTGGAAGCCACTCAAACGCACTGTGTTTTTAACATCCTACAATCTGTAATAACACAATGGTCAAACAAACTTCTGAGGTAAGAGTGACAATACCACTACTTCATTTAGGGTCCTGAAGGGATACACAGTAACATTCCTCAAAAAACTTTGGAACTTTTATGAAGGTATTATTTTGTAGAATGACAAAAAAAAAATAAATAAATTAGGCTTGTTACCTTCGAAAATGTGGATCTATACATCCACTCCACATATACCTTCATGACATAGTACTTAATTAGTTAAGCAGAGGGACAACTTTAACTTTTTCTTTTACCTTCTTCATGTTGGTTTCATGCTTGGCTTATTCTTCAACCCTGAAGATGGAGCCAACACGTTACTCCAAAATTCTGGTTGACTTTTAGCAGACTACACAGTATTATACCTCAGAAGATGGAAGTCTTCAATATTAACTCTGTTTCACACAGTACACCTGAACATTTAATTTTCTTGTATTTAAATACAGGATAGTCATGGTCTCACTTATCTGATTATCAATGAAGCAATTATGAAACAGTACACTTTGAATTTTCTGGCATCAGCCACATCAGTAACAAAGAAAACACACGAACTGCACTACTGAAGTGTTTGTGAATTCTTTCTAATCTATTGATGACAATGATTGCAATCAATGAGACATTGTGGTGTTGACAATACTTGATCATCTTTATTGATACTGTAGGCATATTAAGGTCTCACTCCTGAGAGTATGACAATGATATCAATTACCCATACTAATCAAACAACTGATGAATAACTTTCTGATGTTTAAAACAAATCAACAATTCATTCCTGTTTTTATACAATGCAAGTCTCCCACATTTCAAAATATGCAATGCCTGCACTTTTGCTATCACTTTATAACTGCCATCTTCAGGACATCCTTCATAGGCCATTATTTTCAAGACCAATACCTTCGCATTCAATAATGTTGGAATCTGTTCCAACATTTATCACGGTGAATTTAGCCTGTAAGTGATGAAACAAAACACTATTAAACCTGTTTTGCTCAATTACAGAAGACAACATACTCATCAATGACATATCTGTGAAATGTTGTTTTGAATACTTGCTGTATTATCCAGGAGTGTGATATTTAACTACCAATTTACATGTTATTTTGTTAACTGCTAGTGTTTTACTAGCTTACTTTAAAGAATGAAAAGAGGTTTATAATTTTTATGTTGGGTGTGTCTCTCTATGTCCCCCCTCCCCCTTAATGGGATCAGGAATTTGGAAATAGAAAAAAACAGAAAGACTGTGTTGCCAATTATTATTCACTGCAGTAGTATTATTTATAGACTGGAATGAAAACAAAATAATTCAAATTGCACATAACTGAAAATGTATTTATTAAACAACACTGAGCAATGAATTTAAGATGTACAGAGTGCGGCAGCATAATTTGCTGATTTGAATTTGGCACCAGGAAGCAAGGTTTGGCCGTTAGAGGGTGCGGATGGTCTCATTCGAACGGGTGGGTCGGGAAGTTTGTTCTTCCTTCCACTTTAGTACCAAGAATGCGTTGGATGAAGGAGCAGCGCGCGTTTGCCGTAGAGGCTTACTTTTCTAACCGTTGCTCAATCGTCGCCACGCAGCGAGCATTCTGTGTGCACTTCAATATTTCTGCCCAAGCTCATGTTCCTGGTTGGCAATCAATTGTTACGTGGGCAAACACATTCAGGAGAACTGGCAGTGTGGAAAAGGTAAGATCAGGGGAACGGCCATCAGATCACCCCAAAACATTGAGGCAGTAAGGCAGTCTTTTTTGCGATCTCCTCGGCGCTCGGCACGCAAGCATGCAGCTGCCCTTGGAATGTCTGATCGTTCTGTGATGCAAATTCTTCATGAGGACCTCCACTTTCATCCTTACAAGTTGGCTGTGGTGCAAGAACTCACTGAACGCGATTTTGCTGCTCGGCAACATGCATGTGAAGCGTTCCTTGAAACTTTGCCTGATGATGTGCTTGTGTTCTTTAGTGATGAGGCTCATTTCCATCTTTCTGGATGCGTGAACGAGCAAAACGTGCGCTACTGGAGTGATAACAATCCCCGAGAACTTCATGAGAGGCCCCCACTTTTTTGAAGAGAATGAGGTTGCAGTTACAGTGAATTCTGTTCGCTATGTGAAAATGATCGAAGAATTTTTTTTGCCAAGTCTTGACGAAATGGATGTTGGGGATGTGTGGTTTCAGCAGGATGGAGCCACGGCACACACGGCGCAAACTGCAATGCGTGTTTTGCGGGAACACTTCCCCAGGCGCCTGATTTCTTTGAGGGGCGATCTTCAGTGGCCAGCGCGCTCACCCGACATAGCCCCTTGTGAGTATTTCTTATGGGGGTATCTGAAATCTCTCATGTACACCAATCGTCCAAGGACCCTTGCTCAACTGAAGGAGAATATTCGCCAAGCCATAGCCAACATACCCATCGCTATGCTGGAAAGAGTCGACGGACACTTCAGAATTTAGGCAAGTCAGTGTATCGCCAATGGGGGGGGGGGCACTTGTTGGATACAATTTTTAAAACAGAGTAAACATAAATTTCCAATGTTGTAGAATATGGAAAAAAAATAATTATGATACCTATAACATCTTTTGTTTTATTGACCCTTCAAATCAGCAAATTATTCTGCCGCACCCTGTATATTGGAAAGCAGATACCTAAGTCATATTTGGGTCATTTTCTTTTTACTCTGATCCTTTGACTGTACATGTTGGTCTTTGCTTACTCTTTGCCCACTCTACTTATTCTGCAAAAATGAAAGTAAGCTTATGTCATCTCCATGTCATCTCTGTGCCATTGAATCCACCCACCATTAACTTCTGAATGCTTGAACCAATCTTTATGAAACCTGGTATGTATACCATGGTGCCTGACCCCATCTCAAGAGCATACTTCATAAATCCCTCTGATCAGTCGGTGTCTACACGTGAATCCCTCCTATCACTGCTAGCCAAAGGCTCAGTGAAGTGTATCCCTTCCTTCATTGCTAGGCAACAGCTCAGTAAACACGTTCCTGCGGCAATGAATGCACACAACAGGGTTTGAACAGTGGTCTCCAGTCAAACTATTCATACAAAATTGTTGTTTCTTTTAACAAAATAAAAACAAATTCATAGGAACTAGAAACAGTATTTTGCGATAGTTGCATTATTAAGTAGCACTGGTTTCAGTACAATGTAAAAGACAGAATACTGGACTGCAATCACTGGAGTCAATGTTAAAAAATGACATAAGAAACATCATTGCTGGTGACAGGATAAAATGGACTGTCAGTTAAGATGACTTGGCAACAATTGACAAGCCTGACCAACAAAGGTCAACAACCTGAGTGGTGTATTTGCTTTGGAGTGCCTCACTTAGACCAAGCCTGCTTCTATCTGCTTTTTAATTTTCACGTACTGGTTCTGCTGAACTTGTGCAATTTTGGTTTGGTTGAATCCATAAAACTCACCCCAGCAACTCCTAATATTATCCAATAATCAAGATCTGAAATCACATACTTCATGGTTATGACACACAGAAACTAACTTTTACACTCATTGCAATGACCTGATATGCTCTGAATCATGACTATAAAAAAGTGGGTATAAAATGTTACAACATAACCCACTTATGGAGGGAAAGAGTTCTGTCCTTCTGTGGTTCTTCACACTAGCCAACAGAACAGAAAGCTGCTTTTGCCGCACAACATATTTGAAAGATTAAAGTTAATTTACTCATTGATAGATGATTCTATATACAATAATCTGGCTTTTAGGCAACATGACAAACAAACAAACTATAAATAAAAACATGTGGAGGCGGGGGGAAGGAAAATATAAAGCTTCTTCACCTTTCTGAGCATTATGGCTAGGACAGCAGGTTCATCTAAACATAAGATCATGCAGCTGAATCATCAATTAATGTTCTTCAATTTAAGGTTTTCCCTTACTTAATGTTCAACTTTAATATCAAACTGACAATTTAGTGCTAAATTCCCTCCATTTAAAATTTTCCTCAGTTTGGTGTTCTACTCTGCTGCTCCCAAACAAAACCTCAAATGAGGTTTTCACTGTACTATCATACACACTGCCAGACATGCTGTAAGACAATCACTGAAACTTTGAACAAAATCTGTCACACATTGCAATTACTTTCATAAATATGCACTGGGATGTGTAGGTTGCAAAGTGGCCAGCTGGCAGACAGGAACTAAGATGATCAGATGTTAAATTAGATTTTGCTCACTGATTAGAGATCATGAGTTTCCCAGCAGTTACTGAATGTAAGAAATTATGTCATATACTTACATATATGTAATCAGTCTCACCTCTGTTAACTGACGTGCTACGTGAATAGCTGTTTCAGTATGTAAAGTCACTGGCCCACACTTTACACGGGACTTTCCATGTGCAATGGCCATGAATAAGATAATCTGAAAGTAGACATGAGCTATGATCCTACGAACAAAATAACATAAACCACTGAACCGCCAAGCAGTGTGTAACACTTTTCAAGTTAATACCTGTACTTGGGTTCTTGTCACTCAAATTTGATGTACGGCTTTGGCTTTCATGAATATGACAGGTAGAATGTTAGAAGTTTTTCCAACATTCTTCACCACCTCCCTTCGCAACTACCCTGTCACTAAAACATGTTTCAACACCCCTTTTCATTCACTCTTTACTGGAGAGCACCCACTTTTCTGTTTCATCGAATAATGGCCTTCACCTCTGACTTGCTGCCCAAGGTGAGACCTGCATCAGAGCTTTCAAATCAACCCCAGATGGCAACAGCAATGTTTGCCAAAATGGAAAACCTTCAAAAGCCAGTCATACATTTCTGAAATTAGATCAAAACCTGGCAGATGTGTGGTAAGATCTGAGAATTCTATGTCTGAGGAAAAACATTATGAATGCGAAGAATGGCAATCTGCAAACCATACTAAGCAGCATGTCCCCTCTAACAGCCCACTATGCCTTATAGGTGGATATCACTGTAAATATGAGACAACAATTTTTCAATAATGTAATTCAGCAAAACTTTCTTGGACTATACCATGTCCCTGTTGAGCTAAGGGGAAAAGATGTCCATGCTTAATTAAGTACCATGCCACATAAATACATAAGAGTGGAGGTTAGCACTAGATGGTCAGCAGTCATCTTCATGCCCTGGCAGCACTAAATTTAGGGAACAGGCCCCAGTGTCCACTGGATGAGACTGGGTGAGCCCAAAAGATAAACAGGAACATGTTAGATGTGACTTGAACCTAAAATGGGAAACGTATTTTCGCAGAAGGGCTACACGGGGTGGGGCCCACACTTGTTTCAATTTATCCATTAATGCTGTTAAGAACTTCACTGATATGGCCAACATCATTGCTTCCTGAACATAAAACTTCATTTTAATGCAATGTGTAGAATCAACGACAATAAATCACACCATCCAATATTATAATAAACATCTAAAATTTACTGTTTCTTGTAACTAATCCATTTAATACGACAAGAAGTTAATTGGTTCCAGATTAGATGAATCAATTTATTGGATGCTGTTTACAATTACAATTACCCAAAAATGTCTTCCACACGATGCAAGCTGACTAGTCTGTCATCTCTCGAATTTTGTCTTCACTCTGTTACTCTGTATTCAGCTCCTTTTCTCTCTTCCACTGTTATTCCTGTTAGTGTGTCTTTGCCGTTTCTTCCTTACTTCTTAGCTCTGCTCTGTTTGCCTCTGTTCTGTTCTGTTCTGTTGTCCGATCAGTCTGTCTTATTCGACAGTCAGACGGTCTAGAAGACGCCTTATTCAAGGGTTCAGTTTCGTGTCTTTCGATTTAATGGCAGCTAGCATATTGGTTATCGCGGGAACTGAACTAGTTCTGGTTTTCATTTCTGTGGTAATGGTCTGTTATGTATGAGGTGTAGAGTGGACATGTTTGTCACCCAGACAGTGATGTGTTTATTGCTCCTACTGTAGCAGAAACGTGACTACTGAGCTGTTGCCTAGCAATGGACGCCCACTGACTCCAATATCCGCTTTTAGGCGGTATGTCACAACATTTTCATACAAAAATGTCAAATTAAGTCACTGAATCTTTTTCAAAGTACAGTGGTCCTTGTGTTACAAAATGTTCGGCATATGGAATTCAGCCTTATGAAAATTATAAAGCACAACCATAAAATCCACAGCATGGGCCATAAATCTGCCCCTACAGATATTTGTGCTAAATATGGACATTTTTTAAAATACAAAAACTACTTTTTATAAGACATAATTAAGTAATGTAATTATACATTAATTAAACATATTTATGATATATAAAATTATTAGTAATCCCTTATTTTTGACAGTGCAGTCTAGTACCCTTATTTAACATGTCTGAAACAAGCCCACTGAGATCAAGTGCAAGTGTGACACCTAGATGGGCACAAAAAGCACACTGTTATTTATATGCATAAGGAAAAGTTTTTGGTAATATGGGAGTCAATGGAAACATAGGGTTTGCATTATGGAATGTGATGAGACATGAGAATACATCACTTCTGTAACTGTATGTATACGTGTAAATTACAAACAATTTTTGGGCATTTTACATGATAAACTATTAAGAGTAACACTATTATTGAGCTTCATTAACTAAGCACCACTCCATACAGGCATATGGTGAAGTGGAAGCACAAATCTATCATTCTTAACGTCAGCACTAGAGGGCACTAAATGGTTAGCTGCTGCTTCACACCCAGGGAAATAGTTCCTGGTATCCACTGTATAGGAAACTGCGTCTGGACACTACAAAGACAAGAAAAATCTCTCATCCCATGAGAAATCAAACTGTAGCTCCACAGGTGTCCAGCCCATAGCCTAGCTGCTACACCAACTAAGCTATCCCGGCTCCTAAATGATTAAAATATGGCTGGGTATACATACTTCCGTGGCAACGAATATGCATGCAACAACGGAGAAATTGTTGGAAGTGGTGATTTCTATGCGGTCCATGCCGAAGTTATATATGAAGAACACAGTTGAAACAAAGGGATGAGACAGTCACCAGCTGGTATGGGCATGAACATGAAAGCAGAAGAATATCTATATTTAGGAACCGTTACCAGGGAACAACTGGTAAAGGCATAGCAAACTGAGAAGACTCAGAGTATGCTGTAGTAAAGTGTAAAGCGTGTACAACAACGGCAGCATTATAAATATTTGTAGTTACAAGTTAGAAATATTCAACAAAACCAATTACCTAACCAAACCAAACCCCATGTCTAGTCATTAACAGGTGACAATATAACAAACTGGATAGTTATATCATGAACAATGGCAGAAGACCTGGTTACCAACTTCTCCTACCACTTCAGAGCACCATGAGAGCTACACACTGACCAGGGCCATAACTTCAAGTCCTGCTTTAGGCAGGAGATATTACAATGCCTGGGTGTGAGCAACAACTGCACCATCCCCCTGCAACTGCACTCAGATGACATGCTGGAATGGTACATAAAAATGATCAAATAGCACCAGCGAAAAATTGTCATGTCACACCAGAGGGACTGCGGCATAAGGCTGCCCATCTCCCTCCTTACCTACAGGGCATCCACCAATGACATACTGGGCTTCATCCCAGCTAACCTACTGTTTGGGAGAGAACTCGGTCTGCCCTGTAACCTGCTATTTGATGCTCGCCCTGACAAGGAGTGACCAACCACCAGCCACGCAGCAGATCTCGTGACTAATACAAGACATCATGATCACACTTCACTAACTGACCTGGTTATAAAGCACCAGACAAGATATGATACACTTCATGGCACAGTCCCACAATATTCATGAAGAGACTGAGGAAAATGACAAAACACTTGAATCAGGTACCAGTCACCTAGCTAGACTTCAGCTGGGTGCTTAACAACCACAAAAGCAGGAGTGCTGTTATGCTCTGATGCTCAGTAATGTTCAAAAGAAAGAGTTTGAAGTATTACCTGATCTTGAGAATAGGAGTCTACACAAGCCTTTGTATTAATGGACTGAAGCAGTTCATCTGCAGCTTTGTGTCCCACTTGTTCAGGCTTCAGTTCTCGCTTGCCTAGAGCAGAGCCACCCAGGAGGCAACCTGTACTGGTTTCTGCAACAAGACTGAAAGCAATAAAGTGCTCCAAGTGGTAGAATACATCAATGCAACCAAAATATCAATATCAGTGTGGGAAACACATTTGAAAACTCTGTATTCTATAGACAGAAATGCAGCACAATAAGTACAAAAAAGCAAAAATTATGAAATTTTTAACGTTAAGTAGAAGAGAAACACAAAATCAAATGGCACAATTGAAAAACATGAAGACATCTGCTGTCAACAATATCTACAAAGAAATTCTGAAATATGGGAGTCCTAAATTAATGGAAGAAATAGTCAGTCCTTTTGCAAATATACATGGTACAGAAAAAATATCCAGCAAATGATAAAAAAAAGCAATACAATATAATTATTAAGAAAGAAGGAAAACAAACCAGGAAATTTACTGTGTAAAGCACTGAAATTACATACACAAAGATAATATCAGAATATCTAACCAATAATTTGCAACTTAAAGATGAGCAACAAGGATATAGAAGTCAACTGAATTTAAGATACAAGTATTTTTATGTTCTGTAGGTCTGGAAAAAGCTTTTGATTGGACAATGTACTGAACATAACAGAAAAGAGAAATCTGCCTAAGAAATTGTTACCAAAAATGAAACACTAAACTGAAAGTAGTGTATCCAGAGAAATACCATTTAAACAAGGCATATGACAGGGGGCACTCTCTAAGCCAAAATTTCTTTACTCTTGTTATGGTTCTAAGTAGCAAAATAAATTAACACATAAAGGACCAGTCACATGGTATCATGCTTTTCGCTTTTAAACATGGGGGACCGGTCGCATGATATCATGATTTTAGGACACATTAGGTTGTAACACCCCATACCTTGCTCTGGCGCCACGCAGCTGGATGACTACTGGGTAATAAAACCCTGGAAGTTTGCTTAGTAGTCAGTAACTTGACCTCGCTGTTTTGGTTCCCCACTCCAAAGGAAAATGATCTTTGTCCCTTTGAGCGTTATGTACCAGGCAGTAAGTTAGCAGTGCAATATAGATCAAGGACGAAAGCGGTTGAAGACCAAGCGATCTCTCGGAGAACAAGAAATGTCTGACTTGTTCTCCGATGAGCTATCTGACATGCCTTGTGAGAGTAGTGACAGTGACTCAGATGGTGGCAGTGACAGGGGACAACAAAGAATTGTGGCCACAGACAATAAAAGTGAAAGTAGCTCCAACGAAAATGTGGGTAGTAACATTGTGGGGACAGCCACATGGGGAAAAGTAGACAAAACGCCTACTTTGGGACAGTTTGCTGGAAATCCGGGGGTGAAACAAATTCCATCAGACCCAACGCAAGTGTCTGAAGTAGCAGAACTGTTTTTTGGAGACAGTTTCTTTGACATGCTATGTCAGGAAACTAACAGATACTATCTCCAACACCGTGAAGAGTATGACAGAAGTTAAAAGGTGTTGAAGTGGGTGGATGTCACTTCAGCAGAAATGACAATTTTTTTTGCAATAATCATTCTATGGGGCATACAAAGAGCGATAATCTAAAAGAGTATTGGTCAACAGATCGATTTTTAGAAATTCCCATTTTTGGCAAACTAATGAGCCATAAGAGATTTGAACAAATTCGGTGGTGTTTGCATTTCAATAATAATGAACTGCAACCACAATCAACAAGCAGGCTTTTCAAAATTCAGCCCTTATTAAACTTTTTTCGTTCAAAAATTTCAGACGGTTTATAAGCCAAACCAACAACTGTCTTTGGACGAATCTGTGATTCCTTGGAGGGGAAGGCTTCGTATGCGAACATATAATCCTGGGAAACTTACAAAGTATGGCCTACTTGTTCGTGTAGTTACTGAAAGCACTTCAGGCTATATGGGAAATTTAGAAGGGGAAATAGAAGGCAATCCAATTCAACAGGTAATGAAATTCAAATACATATTAAAACCAATCAACAGCAGCAATAGATGAGTTATGTTACTACAAATTAAACAAGCAAGCCAGCTTATCAGGATGCTTAAACTGCATTATATGGAATAATAAGAACCAACAGAAAGAAACCATTATGTGAATATATAAATCAGTAGTAAGGCCCATAGTTCTTTTTCTCTCCCGCAGGGGCACATTAAATTTCCCATGGACATTTAAATTTGTCACTGAAGTGTTTAATTTCATACTTTTTGCTCCCTTTTTAAGCTACATTATCTCAGTTGTGTGTTATTATAAAATTATGGAACAAAAAGCCTCTGAAAGACCATTTATCAGACTTCACATAGCTGTATTTTCATTTCTATAGCCATTAAAATAAAGTTTTTTTAATAAATTTCTTTTAGTAAAATTGCATATTTTGGCTTTATTCTTGAAATATACTGTCGCCACTAACTTTCATTTCCATTCAGACTAAGTGATCTCATATGTATGCCTGAGTTGTGCATATTCAGTATATGCCATCTTGACCGGCATCTGGTGTTTAGAAATGAAACACAATTATAGTAGTTGGCTGACAAAACTGTCTGTTGAAAACACACATTCCCAGCTTGGCTTATTGCGACACTGTGGATGCCTCATTGATAAACAGAGTTTCTTACAGCCATGTGGGCTGAAATTTACTTCTTTGCAAGCTCAAGGCTAGTAGGGGTGAATGAACTGTGCAACAAAAGCTATCTGTTCTTCCAACATCAACTGCAAAAGCATTAAATTGTACGGACTATGTAATCATGTGTCAGGTTGCATGCTACTGCTGTCACTGACACTTTGTTCTCCACCTAACGAAATTTTCCCATTTATTTCACTATCATTACTACAGTCACACTCTGGAATATCACTGTATTCATTCTCTTATAATAGTTCATAAAACACCTCATCACTTACACTTATCTTCTTGCTAGGACCTGCCATGTTTAGTCAGAACAACTCAAACCCTGGACAGCCATCAAGCAATCAACAACTTCCTGTCACACTCTGAAGTAACCAGAATATCTTGCAAGCACAACATACAAGTATGCTTTGCTGACTGGCATTATATCTACAAGAGAGTACTTACAAACATGTGTGATGTCTATAGACGTCATGGCCACTATGATAAACATCTATGACACCACATGACATCTATGGACATCATAACCACCTGACTGGTTAATAACAAAAGAACAAAATGGAATGTACATACTGACTGAATGAAGGACAACAGACTAGTGGAAAAAGTGAGAAATGGTGGATAACAGGAGAAGGCACTTAGGACGAACGAAAATGAGGTGGAAGGATAGAGTCATGAAGACTGAATGGATGCAAAAGTAACAAAGCTTTATGCAGGGGGGGGGGGAGCAGGAGGTCGAGGAGGAGGAGGAGGGAGGAAGAGGATAAAAAAGAAATATATGTAGAAGTAGTTGATCAGCTGGTGGATCAAAGACAAGTACTAGATTCTTCAGGACTTAAAGAGATAATTGGTGTCAAATGAGGCAGGATGATTTAAACAACGAACTGGAAAAAATCTGAAAGGAAGCAGATGCCGTCTGCTTCAAGATACCATACCAGAATCCACATATACATACACTGGAAAGAACCATGGAAACAAAGAGAGAAAAGAAAACAGTTCCCACAGTCATGACTCACAATCCAGGTACCTAAAAATGCATTCCAGGATTGTTACCATTGAGGTTAATCTGTTCAATTGCTCTAAGTGCACTGGAACATAAATAAGTGCTATACACAAGTTACATGCATATCCAGAAGTTTGCTGTTGTTATCTGTATAGTGCCTCCAGATATGAGTTGCGTTGATTTCCCTGCCTTCTGCCCACTTATGCTTAGATGTAGAATACATTTATGAGATGGTAGCACCTACAGGGTGGATTCTATTACCCCAATGAAAGGGAGAGCATAAGTGTGATGCTTGGCAGAAGAGAAGGTTTCAATGTATGGGTAGAAGAGCCTGAACACATATCTAACTGAAGACTGAACAAAGAACCCCCTGAACAGGAATGTGATGAGATAAACCACACAGTGTGAACCACAAAAGATTACTCTCCACATCAGTGAGTGTGAAGAAGATATGGTGTTTCATGAAGCAATGTAGCACTGCTACAATGTTATGTGACTTACAGAATCAGAAATTAGTATCAAAACAGTTCTCAGAATATAAACTTACTTGATTCCTGACCCAGTCCCAACTGCTACATCTGGATGTTCAACGTATCTTTCGATTTTCACGTCCACATTCTTCAAGGCCTTCCTCAGAGTCTGGATGGCAGAATCAGCCATTAGATGAGCTAACTGCAACAGTTTAACAACTGTCTTCAGTACATTTTAATATCATTAAACTTAAAGAGTTTCATACTAAACCTATTTATCTCCTTAGTAACTAAGTAAAGAGCTACTAAGAGGAAACAAAATATATGAGTCACCTTAATTATAATTAATCTGGCTCCAGATTAATTTACTTTCAGCAGTATATCCCTTATTCTACACACTGAAATGGCATTACAATAAAAGCTGAAATAAAGTAATTTAAAATTATTTTTGATTGGAAATCCAGCTTTGTATATAACACAGATCAAGATAATTCAGTAAATGGTTACAGTCTGGATGACAAAGGTTCAGTTCCTGAAAACAGTGGGTTTACTTTCTTCACTGCTATTTGCTGGCAGGCTGTTCTGTATCCTCAGTGTCCTGTCTAATGTAGGCCAGTGGCTCTTTTCCTAGGGATAAAGAGACTGAAGCATGATGTTGCCGATCACTCACCTCCAGTTAGTACCAGGTTTAAGAATGTACAAAGCTGTACCTTAACTCACTCTATATGCCTTCATGATGTGACACAGGACAACTGCATATAATGTAAAACCCACATTTATGATGTTCATAATTTTTTTTCCTAATACAAAACTGGATTTTCCTTCTAAACACTTCTGATTTCATTACATCATACTGTGGCATGTAGACCCATTGCTAGGAAATGCCTGCAAAACAACCAACCAACCAGACAACGGCCCATTAACAGCAACAGAGGAATGATGGTACATTAGTACATATTGTGACATGGATGGCGTAACAGGAAGTGAGGGTCGTGTGAGCTCTGCGGTTTCACGAGTGACGTCACATACCCCCACTCCTTCCATCGGTAAACATCCCTTCCCTGCGGTGTTTCTTCATGCCGTGCCGAGTAGAGCCAAAGTGAGCCGAGCCAAGCCAAAGCACGCTGGTTACTACACAGCAGTAAACAACTCTCAACAGCATTGCCCAGCAACACCAGTAAACAAGGCGACTAGGCAACAGGGAAGCGAGGCGTTTTCCGTTGTCTGGCTGAGGGTTTATAAGAGAACCACACGGCCTAAGAAGTCAGTTGAACTGTAACAGTCGCCGAGTTCAGTTGTAGCAAGCAAATCATGAACGCGGAAAGAAGAATACCAGAACGTGTGATTAGAAGTGATAGTGTGAGAAGGTATTGGGAGTGTGAAATACAGTGACCCTGGTATAGCTCCCATATTGTACTGTGAATAAGTGAAGACTAGTGAAGATAGAGTTAACAGATTATTGTGTAGGGTTTATAAATTGTGTAAACCCGCAACTGTGTTGTGATTGTAGTTACAATTTGTAGGTTGTTAAATAAACCAATTAACAATCTGAACGGCGTCTTCAGTGGCAAAACACATTACAATATGTTATGTTTTTGGGCATATCCATCATCATCTTCATCTAAAAACAGTCCTGTTTATTTTTCAAAAAACAACCTTTCTGAGACTGGATTCTGTCTCCTTCATACAAAACCTACTCAGTTGGGCCCAATCAACAATATTCTAAATTCATCTGGTTCTTCTCCAAGAAAACTTATTTCTTTGATTTTACCTTAATGGGAAGAGAACCAGCCACAAATGCCCATCCCCATATTCGTACAACGTCGCCACTCTCGACCAGATCGATGGCCTTCAACTGTTTCACAGGTTTCACTCTTATATGCACCTCTCCTCCACCTCTTGGATAGTAACCTCTAAAAGAAAGAAATTTAACTTAATAGAAATTAATTAACACAGCTTAATGATTTGTGAGCTTTGATTGCTAAACAGTCATTGGCCTTTACACTTTACTAGACCATCATTGGCAATCCTCTAGTAACATATCCTCCTTGGCTGCACCATAGCTCAAGCAGTTAGTCACTGGCTTCCCACCGTGGTGGCCTGGGTTTGATCCCAGGTCTGGTCAAGTGGAATTTGTGGTGGACAAAGTGGCACTGGGGCGAGTTTTCTCCGAGTACTTCGGTTTCCCCTGCCAATCTTCATTCCACCAAATTCCCCGTCATCATAATCACCCGGGGCAGGCTACAATAGGCCAATCAGTGGCCGCTGTGCCAAGTGGACCCAGTTGGACGCCACACCCCACTAAGCGAAACATACCCTTCTTACCACTATAACACAGAAGTGAAAGGATTAACAATTAGCAAACAGTATGGAACTAAGAAGAGGAGAGCGATATAATTACAGACTTTAGAAAACATTCGAATTGATACCCACCACCACGCCCATCACCACCATCCCAACCATCACAATAATCACAATGTTTACCATGGCCGCCGCCGCTGCTACCACCACTGCAACTAGACTTATGACACTACCTCTACTTTGGTGGAAGTGTATGGACTGCACAAGTATGTGTGAAGTAAGTGTGTAAATTAATTAGGGAACAGAGTTCAAGAAAAGAACTTGTTTTCGTTTCAGTGAAATATCTATTCCAATTATATTACTTTTTAGCATGCTGTCACAAAGGTACACCAGATTTTCTTAGAAGTAGTGGATATGGAACAGGGTCCACTCAGCCTCCTGAGGATAACTGAGGAGCTATTTCAAGGAAATAGTGGCTCCAGTCTAGAAAACCTTGGGGATCCATTGCACTGACCACACAACACCCTCTATGCACCAAAGTTGGCACCAACTTTGCCCACAAGTGGCAGTCACTCAGTCGGTATAGTTCAGTTGTGGACTACAGGCCACGGAGTTTGTTCTTTGTTTTACATAAAGGTAAGCGGCCTCCGTAGTCTAGAGGTAAAGTTCCCACCTCATGACTCGTGGTACGCGGGTTCAAAAACCCGGCGGAGGTCATGGAATTTTTAAGGGCGGAAAAATTCAGGGAACAAGTCCTCCGGGAGGGACTTTAAGCCGTGGGTCCCATGTCGTAGCTTTACGGCACGTAAAAGAACCTCATATCTCCAAAGGGGGTCACTGAGCCAAATTACGGACGTTTCCCGCCCAACAGCAGTCTCTAATACCTCTGGTAGATGGGGGAAGCATTATAGATACCTCTCAGCTAGTAGAGCCGGTCTCGCTGGCTGGGCGGGACTGATGGTAAGCACCAATATCGGTAGGGTATAGAGACTGGTAGAATATCATAGAGGGAAGCACAATGGACCAATACTGGTCTCAGTGCATGGGGAAACCCACCCCCTCTAATAACTGACTAACTAACTACATAAAGGTACACAGCCATAAGTAAAATGCAACAATATTCTTTCACTTCAATCCAAATGTTTACAACATATGCATTTTTAACACTTAATAAGTTCTTCAAGAGTCAATGCATAATGGACATAGTTTCCCACATAATGCATTAATTCACATGACTATACTGTCATATACCAATCAGAATAAGCCATATGAATATTAACAATGGAATGGTATGCAGGTTTCTCTTAAACTTTTAAATCACAGGTCAAAAGTAAAAAAGCTTAAAACATATAGTAGGGCCTTTCCTAACTCTCTTGTTCTCTCCACATACCTAAAACTTCCACAAAATCTATTTACTAACCTTGTGATAATTTTGTAATCAAAGGTACCTCCAAATCTCTCCAGGAGTGGTCTAAATACCTGGAAAGAAATAACAGAGATTTGTACAAAATTAAAAATGTAATAGAGCTACTGGTCATAACCGTTATACCTGACATAACATTGTGAACTTACACTTATTTGTGCATAGCTATTGGTTTCTACTAGCTCATCCATCCTCATGATTATATATACTGTAAACTGTCTTATTTATTTTACATCTGGGAAGCAGAAGGAGCTTCCTATAAGTAAATAATTTTGTACGACAATAATATGGCTTACAGACCCACAAAAAGTACTCAATAAAATGTACAATAACTAATGGAGCACATATTAAACATCTCCAGATAAGCTTCATGAGTTTCCATCCTGTTTTCAAGTTGGGTTTTAAGCAACAGAACATCTAAGGCTTAAAACTGTGATAAATAACCAAATAACAGAACATGTCAACTCTTTTTATTTAGGATGCACAGTTTCTTATACCCAAACAAAGGATGCCGAAACTAAGTTACATATATTCCAGCAACTATTAGAAACACTACAACAAACTATATTCAAAAAAATATGGCTATAGTCCTAAAAAATATAAGACAATGGCTCAAAAATACCATTAAAACTACTGGAACTTATAGTCAATTGGTATGAGCATGTTTTCGGAATGGATATGGACTGAATACCATATGACCACATAGATTACAAACAGACAGAAGATGAAACATAGGAAGGCCTAATAATGGAAGAACAAATTTCAATCCTGGAGTTGGAGTAGACCAAAGCCTCATCCATGGAGTCAGTAATGTTCATGATATATCATAACCAAAAACTGAAGAAGACCTTACAAAATCACGCACACACCTAAGTAATTTTTAACCCCTCCTTTCACACCACTGTTAGGAAGTGACATTCTTTACATCATCATATTTGCAGAAAAAAAAACAATCAAATGTGGTTCATAACATAGCATTTAATCTCTCCTCCAAATAGGTAAATTTCATGAAATTTTCAGCAGTAGGATTTCAGTGTTTTATTTGCAGTCAAATGGCTACAGTAAGTACTAAAAGCTGATTTTCTTTCATTTCAAAAGTTCACAGTCCTTTCTAAGTCACACTATATAGGAATTTCACGTTTTAGTGACATACAACTGAAAATTATATGTATATATTCAATTTACCTTCAGAAACGTTTGGGAGGGATTTTAAAAATGCATGTCTTGTATGTACCACCCATTAGGAATAGTCTTATATTTACTTCATAAAGAGAAAATTCTAAGGGTATACATTCTAAAATTTGTTTCAAGGCATAATCAAAGACTGAAACCATACGACAAATGTCACAATACATAAAGCAGATGCAAGTACAAAGGCAAATCGAAAAGTCTTTACCCTTACTTTTTTCAGCCAAAATACTAGTGTGATTGAGTAACCGGGTTATACATTTGATGCAACAGGGTATGCTTGGATCGGCCCAGCATTAACTTCAGCTGCTCTGCAGCACTGCACCGCTGTCAGTCAGCGAAGATAGCTGGTGTGCTCAACATGTCCATGCCGTATGAGCAGCAAACTGTTATTCGTTTTCTATGGAGCAAGGGACGAACACCCATCGAGATCCATAGGGAAATGCAGCCAACATATGGAAACAAATGTCTCGCTCTGAGAAGTGTGCAGTGGTGATGTTGTGAATTCACTAATTGCTGGGAAGACCTTAATGACAATGAGCGGTCAGGGCGGCCTCGCACCTCGCTCACAACGGACAACATTGCCACGTGGATGCAATGGTGAAAGCAGATCGGCATGTGCACTTGAAAGTCATTTCCAAGAAGCTTGGCATTTCGTATGGCAGTGTTTACAATACTGTTTACAATTCCTTGGGGTATCGCAAGGTTTCATGTCAGTGGGTGCCTAAGCTATTGGATGATCTGAACAAGGCCAAGAGAATGATGTCACTGCAACATTTGCAGCATTACTCCGAGGAGGGTGAAAGGTTCCTGGATCTCATTGTCATTGGAGATGAAATGTGGGTATTGCATTTCACTCCAGAATCCAAGCAGCAGAGCATGGTGTGGAAACATCCCAGTTCACCTGTCATGAAGAAATTCTGCAGAATGCCATCCATCGAGAAGCTGATGGGCATGGTCTTCTGGGATCACAGAGGACCACTCCTGCTGGATTTCATGCCACAAGGTGCCACCATCAACGCTGACAGCTATTGTGACACACTCGCATGTCTGCTAGCTGCCATCAGGAAAAAGCGCCCGGGGACTCTCATGGACAATGTGGTTCTCCCCTCCATGACGGCAGGCCTCATGTGGCAAACAGGACCACCGCCCGACTGCAGTCATTCAGATGGGAGATTATGGAGCATGCACCGTATAGTCCAGACCTTGCCCCCAGTGATTACGTGTTCAGTCCACTGAAGGAGTTCCTGGCAGGTCAGAGGTTCACTTCCGACAACATGAAAACCGCTGTCCAGCAGTGGTTCCGTGCTCAACCGGCTGAATTCTACAACAGCGGCATCTCCAAACTATTAGTGCGAAGGGACATATGCTTGAACCGGGGTGGTGACTATGTGGAAAAATAGTCAAAGGTACTTAGGACACTCCCTGTATTTTGATTTCCCTGTATCTGTATTATTGTGGCCGAAAAAAAAATAAGGCCAAAGACTTTTTGGTTTGCCCTCGTATAATGTACCAGGTGATACAACAATTCAGAACACACTCCCTCAAGCCTATTGCATCTGTCTGCCATGTGACACTGTTCTGTGAACACACACTGTTTTTACACAAGTGCCTTTTTGACTTCGTGTTTCATTTTGTCCGTGATGGATGGTAAAATCAACCAATGTGTCTGCATCAAGTTTTGCATGAAGCTCAGTAAATCTGCTACTGAAACCCTTCAAATGCTTTGTGAGGCTTTCGGAGAACATTCTTTAAGCGGGACTGGTTTTTCAATAGCACTCACGTTTGAAGGTTGGTTGAGTGTCAATTGAAGATGATGAATTTTCAGGGTGACCAAGCAACAGCAAAATGACAGAAAATGTTGCAAAAATTTGAGAATTCATCCATGAAGTTCATGGCTTAACAATCCATGAGCTCACAGACACCACTGGGATCAGTTATGGAGTTTGTCAGGAGATCTTAACAGAAAATCTAAACATGCACTTCACTGCCACGAATTTTGTTCCCCCCCCCCCCACTCTTGACAAATGATCAAACGCAGTGACACATAAATGTGTGTCTTGAGATATGAGAGAAGGCTAACAAGGACCCAAGTTTTATCTCTAGGATCATAATGGGTGACAAAAGTTGGATTTACGGTTATAACCCTGAAACAAAGCAACAATTATCGCAATGGAAGAGCCCACAATCACCAAGAGCAAAAAACGCATGGCAGGTCAGGAGTTCTTTTTTTCACCTGACTTTCTTCCTCCTAACACTATGATCAACTCTGACTTTCACTGTGACATTTTGAGACACACGAGAGAAAATGTGACAAAAAAGACCAGAACTTTGGTGCAACCACAAGTGGCTCCTTCATCAAGACAACATGCCTGCCCAAATGTCCCTGAAAACCGCAGAGTCTGTGACTAATAACAACATGGTTATCATTCACCAGCCTCCCTAATCACTGAACTTAGCCCCGTGATTTCGCTTTGTTTCTCAAATTTAAAACAAAACTGAAGGGACGATGTTTTGAAACAGTGTCTGACATCCAAAGGGAATCACAAGTGGTACTTGACAGCAATAAGGAAAATGACTTCCATGGTGCTTTTGAAGCATGAAAGAAACAATGGCATTGCTGTATACATTCCCAAGGAGACTATTTTGAAGGTGATGGCAGCCAAAATTGAGTCAGTTAAGCCAGTATGTAAGATTTGAGGCTTTCACGGCGGTGACTATGAAGAAAGCAGTCTTNTAAGCCAGTAGTTGTTTTTTCACCTAGTTCAGGAATTTTCTGCTACACCTGTATTGTAATCAGTCTTACTTTATTTAAATGTAAATATAAATTTGTACTTGTTATGGGTTACTGAAACGGTGTTACAAACACCAAGCTCACTTTACCTCAGTCATATAGTCAATTTGAGGAGCCATCTCTGCATTAGTTCCTCCTCTCAGTTTGAGTATGGTCACTCCACTGCTGAACAGAATACATGGAAGAGCAACTTGGATCAGCAAACAGATGCTCCTGAACAAAGTACAATCATGTGAGACTGAAGTTTTCACAGCAGTGACTGAAAAGTACTATCTTCTGGGATGTGATAACATGGTCCAACAGAAGTTTACTAAAGTTTTGCAGAAACTTCTGTCAACATTTACCAGAACATACATCATGACACCCAAGAAAATAGTGCAGTCCTCTTCAAAATATCACCAACCTATCACCTAAGCAAAGTACAGTCAAGTGACTGAACCAATTCATTGGAGGCTAGGAGCAAAAGTGTTTACTTCCGTGCCTTGCTGAAGCTAGACTGTTTCAACCAATACTACAGAGGAAGTCTGTCCATGTTGCTTCAGTGTCATATTTCAATACATAAAATATGCAGATATACAACATGTGTTCTGTATTCAAACTACTTAGCCATCCTTGCTACCAGGACAGTTTGTGTACAGATCTAAAAAAAAAAATATATGTTATTGCTGATTATGTGGGCCAGAAGTAGTCACAACAGAATACATATTGACTTCCCAGCACTGTGTTCTAACTTCACTTTTGGTGACATTGACACAGTGTAGTTTTATGATTTTCCATATTTTGTTGTGCCATCTCCACAAATACCACAGGTTTGCCTCAACAGCATGGGTGAGATTTCAGAATATGTCTTGGTTCATCATATTCAAACTGCAAGTGATTCCCTAACTTCAAACCCAGTTTCGTAAAATCTGTTGCTCAGGTGATGATATGGCCTGCGATCAATGGCTTATTTCTCAATTACAAATGTTACAAGCAGTTAACTGAAAGGATAACTGTGAAGAATTAGAAAGCCACAAAACCTCACTCAGGATAAGTGACCTATAGGCCAAGAATCAAACTTCTAAATTCTTAAATATAAAGCTCGATTCTAACCACTTAACCACAACTACAACTGGCAGAAACTTCCAATGTTGTTTCTTTCAATTAATTCATTACATTATTTGAATTGAAAAGAGTGCTGAATAAAATGGAAAAAAGATCATGGATGCTAAACAGGTAGGAATCTGAAGAAAATAATGTAATGGTAGTTTCATAGTATGTGGCTTAAATTATTTCCATAAGGGTATGGAAGGAATTGTGGTAGCCATGGATTCCCTCAAAAACAAAGGATAATAAGATTAGATTAAAATTAAGTGTATTAATAAATTATGTATTTTATAATAAATTTATTAAACATTAATAATAAACTACAACAACTTAATACCATTATTGTTTTTTAGTAATCCAACTATGCACTGAAGAATCTGTGAATACTCTACTGGGTGGTATCGGAAAGTTCCTGGACTGTTATTGTTGTAACTGCCTCGGTGAAAGAAGATGAGAGGGGAGACCAACGTCACACTTCCCCAAGCCTATTGCATCAGTCGGCCACGTGACACTGCGCTATGAACACACGTTTTTACATGAGTGCTTCTTTTGTTTCATCTTGTCTGCGATGGATGGCAAAATTTAGCAATGTGTCTGCATCGGGTTTTGCATGAAGCTCCGTAAATCCGCTACGGAAACCCTTGAAATGCTTTGTAAGGCTTTTGGAGAACATTCTTTAAGCTGGGCAGCGGTTTTTGAATGGCATTCAAGTTTCCAGGCTGGTTGAGTGCCAGTTGAAGAAGACAAATGTTCAGGGCAGCCAAGCACCAGCCAAACGCCAGAAAATGTTGAAAAATTTTGAGATCTCATCCATGAAGCCCATCACTGAACAATCCATGAGCTCGCAGTCACCACTGGGATCAGTTATGGGGTCTGCTAGGAGATCTTAACAAAAAATTTGAACAAGAGCTAAACTGCCATGAAGTTTTGTTTCCCGACTTTTGACAAATGATCAGACTCAGCGGCACGTGAACACGTGTCTTGATTTATGAGAGAAGGCTAATGAGGATCCAACTTTTATATCTAGGATCATAACGGGTGAAAAAAGTTGGATTTACAGTTGTGATCCAGAAACAGAGTAACAATCATTACAGCGGCAGTGTAAAAAATCGCCAAGAGCAAAAAAGGCGCAGCAGATCCGCAGTTCAACAAAAAGCATGCTCATTCTTTTCTTCACCGTGAATTTCTTCCTCCTAACACTACAGTCATCTCTGACTTTCACTGTGATGTTCTGAGACGCCTGAGAGAAAATGTACTACAAAAAATTCTAGAACTATGGCGCAACCAAGGCCACGCCATAGCTCAAGCAGTTAGTCTCTGGCTTCCCACCACGACAGCCCGGGTCTGGTCAAGTGGGATTTGTTGCATACAGAGTGGCACTGGGGCAGGTTTTCTCGAAGTACTTTGGTTTCCCCTGCCAGTTTTCATTCCACCAAATTCTCCATCATCATAATCACCAGGGGCAGGTACAATACGCCAATCAGTGTCTGATATGTCAAGTGGACCCAGCTGGACCCCCACTATGTGAATTAAAAAAAAAATGGTGCAACCTCAACTGGCTCCTTCATCACGACTACGTGCCCACCCACACATCCTTGAAAACCACAGTCTGTGACTAACAACATAGTTATCATTCCCCAGCCTCCATACTTGCCATTCTTAGATTTTACTTCACTTTGTTTCCCAAACTGAAAGGATAATAATTTGAAATGGTGTCTGACATCAAAAAGGAATCGCAAAGCCATTTTGAAGGAGATGGCAGCCAAAATTAAGTTAAGCCAGCATTTCTTTTCTGACCTAATCCAGGAACTTTCTGTTAGGACCCTGTTTAACAGACTACAGTACACTGTGTCATAAGAAAGCAGCAAACTGCCTTGATATACAACTGGTCCCAACAAGAAGCTGAGATCCTTCAACCCTCAAAACTAAAACCTTATAGCAATCACCTAACAAATGGAATAAAATTGTAATATAGTGCAGTCAATTTTATGCAAATTTGAAATAGTGACATATAAAAAATGCTAATAAGTCTCATTTTACACGCATAGTTTGAAATACTGTGAATCCCAAAAAATTCAGCAATACATTTATTCCCATGAGAAAACTTCTCTTGAATTATGAGAGGTCTTCAGGAATGCATCCATCACTTCAAATGACCTACTCCAGTTTCCACCATGCTCTGTACTGTCATAGTCAAGCTCCTGCTTTGTATTGGAAGGTCTGAAGGTCTTGGCCCAAAGACCTGCTATCCTGAGTGACAACTTTTGTGACTTACCTAACCCCTTCCAGGCAACTGCTGGGACAGCAGCTTTAACAAAGCCATGACTACTTCCTTCCACATCCCATCCACTTCCTCCTTCACTAGTCACCTTATCATTCAATGCTATATAATCCAGGAAATTAAGAGCACCATCAAAGTAGAGGTAAAGTCACATGTGAGCTTAATTAATTAAGCAACATTAAGTCCCATGAGGGGGTGGAGAAATAGCTCTGCCATTTTTGACTTTGTCATTAGATGGAGTTGAGTGGTCAACTTTACCCCAGGCCCCCGGAACAGTCTGGACATTATGTGGGAGAGGAAAATCTCTTACCCCTCTGCTGGGAATTGAAACCTCATTCCTTAGTCATCCAATCCACAATCCTGTTGCTCTACCAACTAACCCATGCTGGCTCCCCTGGAATATAAAATGCTGGGCACATACTCTTAATAGCTGTTAAGGTGGAATTAAGAGTCATGATATAGTTTGCTGTGCTTTCACACATCTTGCTCTCACTCTGCAAGTTCACAGTGATGCCATGATTAGGCATCATGAATGGAGTTAACAACACTATGTTAAATATGAAGTGATCTAACATGATGTGAGGAAGGCTGGTATGCTCAAAAACATGGAATACAGAGAGATGATGGGAGGATAAGTGCAGTGACTGGTGAAAAAGTTTCATGATAAACTAACAAAATTGCTCTTAAAAATAGATTTCATTTTTTGTATTTTTTATTGATAGTGGGGTGGGACTATGTCCCTTGTACTGCGGCCACTTCTGGCCTATTGTACCAGCCCCAGATGATAGGTGAGTGTGATTGTGGAGCAATTGGTGGAATGAAGATTGGCAGGGAAAACCCAAGTACTAGGAGAAAACCTGCCCCAGCGCCACTTTGTCCACCACAAATCCCACTTGACCAGACCCGGGATCAAACCCGACCGCCACAGTGGGAAGCCAGCAACTAACCGCTTGAGCTATGGTGCAGCCCAATTTTTTGTATTAATATATTTTATATTTCTGCCTATTTTTATTTAAAAAAAAGAAGGAGGGGGGGGGGCAGTTACATGACTTGTTCTTCCCTGCTGCACCTGTGTACAAACATACTTTGTTACGTGAATAGAAGCACTCACCCAGCTGTCCCTGTATCAGCTGAGTATTCTCCACATTTTACTTTTCCTGGATGCAAAACAATTTCTGTGGAGCCAATTTCTCCTCCTTTCAGCTTCCCTTCACTTATATCACGAACAACCTCCACACCTAAATACATTAAAACATCACTTACTTACAAGTAATTAATTTAATCATCATTCTTTCATTAATATTTGAAAAACTGTATTCAAAGCAATCTATCAAGTCATCCATTGTTTCCAATTCACATGCACTGTCTTAACAATGTGTGTGTGGGCATCCACGTGTGCATGCATATGCTATGTAGCTACCATGGCTATCTGAACCTGTATAGAACACCAAACTGAACAGCCCCATGGTACAGTAAATCAAAATTAATAACAGATCCTCCTTGCGTGGTCAAATAATAAAATCATGTTACAGTAGCAGTGTATAATCAGTTGCTGAATATTAAATAGGTAAAAATACCAGGATATAAAGGGGTCCAGTCATGTAGTCTTAGAATCTACCCAACAAGACACCAGACAAATACAGAAAATGCAAAAGAAACATAATGCAATGAGCATGTTGGCTGAAACGGAAGTGTTTCTGGCTTCTATTGGGCAGATAACTAGTTCAAATTTCAGCCAAGACACTGTGTATCCTGATTTAGGTTTCTCATGGTATTCCTTAGTCACTCCATAAAATGCCAAATAGTACCTTACATCACACTATGACCACTTCTCTCCACATTCCTTCCAATTAATCAATCATTCTATCAACTTATTTGTTCCAAGAATCCATTCTGGTGATACAACCTCCGGATACAGAACAAGTCAATAACTACATATTAATATAACATACATATGAGTCATACATGAGTCAACTATACTATGAAACTTAATTACCTACAGACTTCATACACATCAATCATACAATACATCGTCCCACTTGCAACAGTTCAATACCAAAAGAAAGCCAACATCCAACATTTCTTTTTATTAAGTGAGGACAAGATATTTGTCATAACATAAAACCATAACTCACTCACTTCAGAATTAAAGGGACATAAATTCATCAACGGAATAAATGGAATGTTTCAACAGAAAGGATTTTAAGCCCCTCTAAAAAGAGTTAAAATTCTTTTTTAATTTTATCTGCTTAGGGACCTTATTATACAAGGCGATACCCATATTTATAACGCCTTTTTTTTAAAGAACTGCTTGCAATGATTTACATGTAAATTTAGTTCTCGTGTATTGTAATTATGGATGTCCACATTTTTTTTTCATCAAGTCTTTATATTTTTTTAATAAAACATATCACTTCAAGTATGTACTCGTACAGCGTAGTATGTATGTACATGACCAAGTGTAACTTTGTCTAAGGGGATTTCTACAAACTGTGTCCCCAACCTCAACAATCGCTTTGACAAATAAGACTTGAATCACAGGTTTGGCACACCTCTTATGCCATATGAATATAATTTATCTAATAATATATCTTGATTTACCACATCATATGCTTTTGTTAAATCAAAGAATAGTCCTATAGCATGAATTCCTACATCTAATGCCTCCTATATACTTTCAGTAAACGTCTGACTTGCTGTGTCTGTTGATTTATTGTTTCTAAAGACATTCTGGGCTTCTGTTATTAGGTTATTTTCCACTAAAGAAGGTATTATACATTATTTTTTCTAGTATTTTGTGAAATACTGATAGAATGGATATAGGTCTATAATTTTTTACATCATGAATGTCCTTTTTATACATAGGTTTACCTTTGCTATTTTTTTAATCTGTCTGGGAAAATGCCTGAACTTAATGAGGCACTGTAAATGTGAACAAGTGGTTTTGTATATATTTTATACACTGTTTCACTAAATATTCTGGAATTTCATCATAATCTGCTGAAAGTTTGCCTTTTAAACGTTACACATTCTATTTCATCTTCAGTAACTGGATAAGGCAACACTGTTTTTGGACAACTATTTATCCTCTGTTTCAGCACCTGTGCATAATTCCCATTTTTACTAATATTTCGATTCACAAGATCATCAATTATTTTGACAAAGAATTTGTTTAACATATCTGCCCCTTCTTGGGGATCTGATATTATATTAGTTCCAAAGTGTAATTCATTTTTTTATCATGTTTCAAAGATTTTCCAACTCCTTTATTTATTACATGCCACATAGCTTTCATTTTATTTTTAGCCCTTAAAATATACTTATCATTATCTATTCTTTTAGCTTCTTTGCTGACTCTCTTATAAATTACATGGTATCTATTTATGTAGTCCTGCATATCCCTAAAAAAATTATGTTTTTTTAAAACTATTTAGCAATCTCATCCTTTTACACGAAATTCATATTCCTTGTGTAATCCAATTATTTTTCCTTAAGTTACTTCTATAAACAGTTTTTAGTGGAAATGCTGTATTATAATGATAAAGGATCATGTCCATAAAAGCATGTATTAACGTCTGAGATAGAAAGACTCTCCTGCCATAATTCTTTTTTTAGATAAATAATTAAACTCATAAATATTTCCTTTGGTAGACTGTCTTTTCCTGATCTTTTATGAGTCCTCTATTTGGAATATTAACATGTATCTTTAGCATTTGTGCCAAGTGATCTGAATAACCCAGATCCAAAAGCACTGGTGAGCATTCGAAAGCCTGCTTGTTTGTTACAATAACGTCTATCAGTCCTGACACTTCCACTGTGATTCTAGTTGGAGATGTTATTGTACTGACCAAATTGTACAGCAGCAGGAACTTTTTTAATTCACGTGATCTTGCACTATCTTCCATAACATTTATATTCCATAACATGTATATATATTTATATATATATTGATAGCACTTTTTGAATTACTATTTCCAAATTTTTTAGAAATATTCAAAAGTCACCATCAGGTGATCTATAAATACACGCAGTAACTCCTTTATAATCCACTAATTCCACTATGGACATTTCAAAATCTTTTTCTTTACATAAGCTCAAATATTATTAGCTGTCATTGTATGAAAAATACCTTTCAGATGTTGGGCTCTTAATCCAGGGTTACTCCGCCCAGCACGAATGTTAAATACTCGAACTGGTTTCTTCTTAAGGACACTAAATGCTAATGCCATCCTAAGGATCTGGCCTCCCTGTTACAAGCAATACAAGATTAATTACAAATGTAACAAACATTTTGTCCAGTCATAACTGTTATAAAACATTCTCTTATTATTCTCTCACAATACAAGACAGATTTCTACATCTTTATCTATTTCATTTTGTCATTTCCCCATTTTCTGTGTGTAGAAAACTAAATCTAATGCTCACACTGTAGCTTTATTGGTACAGTGAATACCTATGGGCTGGCTGGCCAGGTTGTGCTGTAATTCATCTCTTTCCCCAGCAAATCCACAATTAACCTGGAACTTCTGTGCTCAGATCATGAAGCTGACCTCTCATATAGTAAAGAGATTAAGATATTGAGGACCTTTACCTCCACAGCTTAGGCATAAGGACAGAGGGAAAAGGCAGGAATAGCAAGGCATAAGGACAGAGGGAAAAAGACAGGAATAACAGACATCCTACAACACAAAAATTAATAATAATAATAATGACATACTTTATGGGTATTATTGACAAAGTTCACAGTGCAGTGGATTCCTTAAAAATACGTTGCCTGAAGATGGTCCTATGTGGCCGAAACACGCAGGGCATACACAGAATATGTATATATCTATATATAAATTCATGATATTTAAAACATTTTAGAGAATTAAATATGGATTTCCGTCATCTAAATCTATACTGATATTGTTGCACTATAGATAGAAGACAGGATGCTGAAATATACTATTAAAACTTGGTACGCACTATGCACGAAATACATACTTACACCTTCAAGCATGCCGCCATCTATATCCGTCACCAGCCCCGCCATTACGCACCTTTACCGTTCCACCTCATGCGTTGAACTTCAAATGCTCTCAAAATTGACGATTATCGCATTACCTTCATATGCTGCGTACTGTGCGTAAGAGCTGTAATAATGAATTACAGATCGATGATTGGTCATTAAAATGAAAACACACCTATCTCAAAATGCACGAACAAACTACTGGCATGTAAGAGTACTGGGTTTTGGAGTGATGCAAGAAACAAATTAAAAAGCATACACATAACACACACACCAACCAAACATTAAATATTGCTTATATAATCTCGAAACATGAGCAAAAAATTACGACCTTTAACGCTTACTGTAGCCTTCGTGAGAAATACGTTCAAACTTGCGTCAGTCTGCATATTCCACGAATGACAAGCAGTCCTACTCAATATTATTGGTAGGAAACATGGTCACATGACGTCACGAAGACGTTAGTGCTGTACTCAGCTCCAAGTTCATCGATGTTCATCGATACAAAGTGGCAGCCACCAGCGCCGAGAGCACGATCGGTAAGGAGGTATGCTATCATAGCACCTGTCTACGTGCATTGAAATAAATAATTTTCCAACCTTAATGCTTTTACTGCATAGATTCTTATTCCGTCGTTTTCTTAAGTAACTTTAATATCACTTTGCTCATGTCCCTCGAATTTTTCTCACCAGTAGCTGTTAAAGTATGAACATTTAATTTACGTCAATCCCACATCTCCCTACTGAAAGGCAATGGACACTACATCATACACAGAATACTTGTCTTTAGCGAAGTTGAAGGTGGGTAGACTTGGAAAACAATTGTTTCCATCAGAAATACCTGTATTCAACTTCATAATTTTGCTCACAATTTACACTTGAAAGCTATGCAGAACATAGTTTTTCGGTTACATTAATGTACCTCTAATGTATAGCAAGAAATAATACTGAATTTCCCATTTATTATTTATATCTGCAGTATGACAAAACTTGGCAATATGAAATACACTCTTGCTAACAGGATTGCATTTAAAAATATATGAAAAGCAAAAGCCAACATAATAAAATGACTGAAGGAATATGCACATAATAAAAAAATAAATAATGTACCCAAAACAACGAAATAACTGAAGCAATGTAATAAATCTTGAAAAGCTGAAATATATACATGTTCACAAGTTCAATTCTGAACAGAATAATATGGCCAATATTGAAGGTATACACTAGCAATATCTTGAAAGGTTACCAACTCCATCCAGTGTGATTGATATGTGTCCTTTTCCTACATTTTAATCTTTCATCCTTGACATGTTTCGGTCTGGGAGACCATCTTCAGAACGTCATATCAACAGAAGCGGAGACTACTATTACAATGTGATTGTTCAATATCAGGACATACATACAATATTGTGGTATATTTACGCCATGCAGGAATCTTCGAGCAACAGACATCTGTAAACACAACTATTACGCAACAATAAGAAAAGTGGTGTTTTCTCCGAGCCGAACCGAGCCATTATGTCATGAATATAAAACTGAGCCTTTAACAACCACAACGATGTGCATGAATATATTAAAATATTTATAAATTATTATAATTAGTTTATTACAAATGTGGTTTATAAAACTTTGTTTAAATTTAGAACCAATTTGGTTCGTGTCTTTTATACTACCTACTTCCTTTAAAGAGAGGTTGTTTACAGGTCGTTGCATATAAACGGCCATTCTTTTACTGTTGTCTTGCGTGTATTCGGTCGCGGGGTGTTTAACGGTTCGTTACCTAGCAGCAATCTGGTCATCCACGCTACAAAATTGTGACATGACAAACCGTTTTTGGGCAACGGGATATGGAACGAGGTTACCCAACAGTAAGGAAAGCGGTGTTTGTCTTGCGGTGCAGAAGAAGTGCACTGGTTGCTATGCAGCGTTGCAGTAATCATCTCTCAGTAGCGTTGCCCAGCAATGCCTCTGTAAGCACGGAGAGTACGCAACACTGAAGCGAGGTGCATTTTCCGCTGTCCGACTGAGGGTTTATAAGAGTAACTGGAGAGGCTCACCTCAATATTTCCATTTCTATTTGTCCATGTCTATTAAATATATTTAAGTCCAGGTAAGCTAATTTTTTTAATCACTTTAAAAGTTTTAATACCAGGAAGGCTGCTGTGATTGTGAAAAGTTGAATATTGTGTACATTGTATATTCCAGGCATTATGTGTGTGTCGTATCCCTAAGGTTGGACGATGGAGTGCTTGGCCGAGCGGGAGCCGTAGTTCCGTTGCCTTGTGGTGATGAAGTTGACTGTCAAAGAATTAGCTTGAAACAAGGTGTTTATTACACAGAATACATAAGTACAATAGAGAAACAGGTTATTGCCTAAGGCCAATGGCACGGCCGAGTCTCTAAACAGCACAGAGTCCCCGACTCTGAATAACTGATCAGAAAGCTGTCGTCAGTTTATTTTAGTGAGTTTATATACGTTTCTTAGGGGTAGTTTCTCCAGAAGCCTCTGGCAGAACTTTCCCCTCGTGACAACACATCTCTGTTTGAGGATATGGGTATTCCTTACTTTGTACACTGGCCTTGTTCTTGGACTTTTAACGATGTGGTGATAGGATGTTATTCGAAATCAGTCACGTACTCCCTCGAAAGTTTGCCTTCTGGCTAGGGGAACTAAATAAATTTGGAAATAAGTGTAAATACATCCGTGAAAGTCCAGGCGCCACACTATTTTCCTTTTTGTACAGTCTATGTCTTAAATTTTGACTTGATCTTTCTATTAATCAAATTTCCTTCTTAATTGCCTCCATATACAACATGTGTATGTAATTTAGCAATCAGAACACCTATTGTGATGGTGGTTTCCGAATAAATATTGATGTTCCTCTGAAGATGATCCGTAAGTGTGTGTGTGTCTCTCTCTCTTTCTCTCTCTCTCTCTCAAGTCTCAATTCTGAGACAGTAAAATATGGTCGTGAGTCCCAAGGGACTTGGACCCGAGAAAGACTGTGCTGGCAAGAGCCAACAGCATATACAAAAGACAGACCCGTCCTCTCGTCAGAGAAGGCGCCTCACAGAAGCAAGACCGTAACTGTCAAACGGTAATAATTAATATCTGGTCATGAGCCCCAGATTGGGCTCGCCACCAAGACTCACTGACTGACTGATCGTCAGTCGCAATGTGACTTTGACTTGACTCACCTCAACAATAACACAACCGGAGGAATACATAGAATGAACCTTGAAAATCTGAAATAAATATACCTTCCCCAAGTTCAATACTGAACATAATAATGTAGCCAAATAATAAAATAACTGAAGGAAGATGAAACCTTGAAAACCTTAAATATGTACACGTTCACAAGTTCAATACTGAACATAATAATGTGGCAAAAAAAATAATAAAATAACTGAAGGCATAATACTAAATACTAAATACCATTATACTAAAATAGCTAAATAATACACCCAAATTAGTAACATCTTTAAATACTATGAATCACACCTTCACATCCAAGAAATAGTTAATACACTTAATTAAAAAATACACAGTGAATTCTGATATTCTTTCTGCTTCTGGGTGTTTTATGCTGAATTAGATAACCTGAACGTCTCACGTCAATTATAAAGTAAAGCCACTTCACTCTTACCTACAGATAAACAAGAACCATGTGCACAATTTATCACTAACTTGAAATCAAATTTGTTGTGGACTTCCTGATTGGTGCTGACAAATATGATGTGACTGCTACAGTCCGAATGTAGACGGCAGCACCGGTATGCGCCATTGACGACTCCGCATATTTCTATTTGCCTTATATCTGTTACCAGGTACCAGAGGGAATGCATCCCGTTAACAATTGACAGTGAATGAGGAAAGATGTCAGTAACAACAGCTGATGTGAATATGAGCGGAGATTTTGCGCCATTAGAACCGTCTCTCAAAAATATTATCGACCAGTGGTCACTTCGCTGGATATTTGTTGGGGGAAAGGGTGGTGTAGGAAAAACAACTTGCAGGTTTGTATTATACGAAGCCGTGTTCCCCACTAGCGCAAGATTGGAGCTGCCATTGTTGTGAAGGTCGACCAGTTCCCTCATTGTAGGTTTCTTACTGAACTTAAACTCCCTTTCAGTTTAATAAAATTCTAATTTGGTTTAGGATTTGTAATGCCTATCTGCAAATATAATCGACGTAATTGACACATCGTATGCAGGATATACAGAATCTCTCGCAAGTATGAAATTCCATTATTTTGTGGACGTGATTAATATAATACTAGTAAAGTCCCGCGGTTAAAAATTTTAAAATAATGTAATTAACAATACCCCGTGTTCTTTGAATCCAAAATTTCGGTAGCCTAGTGCTAACATGCTGGCTTATGTTCCACAGGTGAGTTAGGCCAGCGAGCCATTTCTTTTGACATTTTTTAATTACATAGTGTCTTCAAGCGAAATTAGTATTTTTGTAGGGAAAGGTTGTTTTTGTGCCATTTTGCATGAGTGGAATATCATGATATAAAGAAGGCTGCATATGACACTACCACCACCACCACCACCACCATCATCTATGACCAGGCAGGTTCAGGTAGCAGTAAAGCTCTGGACTCAGTTCAAACCATGGCTGAACACCGGCTGTCCTAAGGTGTTCTCCTGCCCCGGCATGCAAATGGCACATCAAAGTATGTCATAACTGCTTTCTTCTCCATTCATTACTCATTAATCATTCCTTGATTTGGTACTATATAGTCTGCGCCACTGACAGCATCATCAGATAAACCATAAATAAAGTAAAAGAGCCTCTTTCTTCCTGTTATTACAGGTATTACCTATAGTCGTCATCCCATTCAGTGCCATGAAATTGAGAAACAGTTGATTAATTAGTTACTTCTGTTTTCACAGTGATCTTAATCACTAGCTGCCGAAGTCAGTAATTGTCAGTAATTTTCTTCATTCTCCTTGCATTTTATAAAGTTTTAAAATTTTGTTTTTAAGCTGTTCATAGTGCATGTTCTTTATGCTGAGGTTGTTTGTTAACATGTTACTATTGTTTTAGTTGTAGTTTAGCAGTGCAACTATCCAGAGTGCGTGAAAGTGTTTTGATAATATCCACGGATCCAGCACATAATATCTCAGATGCTTTTGATCAGAAATTTTCCAAAGTACCAACAAAAGTTAAAGGATTTGAAAATCTTTATGCTATGGTAAGTCAAAGAGATTTCATTTTCATTCAGAGTAGAAACTTTTAGTCAGTCACTGGCCTTAAATTTACAATTATACTTGTGTTATAAGGGAGCCATGTGGTAGCGTAGTTAGTTGACACTATGCTACAAGCCAGAAGGTCGCTGATTTGAATCCTGATGAGGTCACTAGATTTTTCAGTTGACCTAATCCTTGCAGCCTCACCATGACCCTGGGGTCAACTCAGCCTCCAATAGAAATGAGTACCAGGAATCTTCCTGTGGGGCAAAGGGTGGCTGGCACATAAGGCTGACAACCTCACTGCCATCTATGAGCTGATTGTCTAGAAAACGTGGGAACTTTGACATCTCACAACCATATGGGCCTTCACAGCCTGTTGAAGGGATAGCTTTACAATATATATGAGACAAACTCCGTCTTAAGTGCAACAATTTTATTGTATTCCTTTCTTCTTCCCTTCCTCCACACTACATGTTTCGGCCCTAAATGGCCATCATCAGGTGTGTATTCTTACGTAGCTGCTACACTGCTCGTAGTTTAAAATTTAAAATCACCAGTCTTTCCTATTGTATGTATGTATAAAATCTTTGTTAACCTACACGCGTCAATTTGATTTCTAAAATTTGCACTTTTTTAAAACTTCAATTCAAATTAAAATGTCTATAAATCTTCTTTTCTTTTTCCAAATGTTTAGTTAGTTGCTTGTCTGTGACAGGTTCTATATACATCGGGTGTATTTGTAGCCTAGATTGGATCGACGGAATTTTACAAATAAATTAAATTAAATTAAATAGGTATCAGTCTTCTGATTTTCATGGAAAATCTGTCATACTATTTATTTTACCTCTGGTTTTGCTTGGTTTTCCTTTGTCATGCCACTTATTAATATAATGAAACCCATTCAGGTCACTATTTCACATCACTAGTCTGTTTCACAAAATTCAGCTTTAAATTTTCTACCTGTGCCATGACTTTCATAGTGACCACCCATTTGATTTCAGCACGAAATTAGTGCTTATTTCTTGTTTTGCCTATTCCTGTTAAATATTAGCTGACCATAATCTCCATAAGTAAACCCATTCACGTTTATGCCTTTACATTAGTTCTCTTGCTTCATGCTGGGAATTTAGATTAATAAACTGTCAGGAGGAAGCAAATTCTTAACTTCTGGCATACCTAAGACAGTAGACATTACAGCAGACTTTTTCAACCTTTTTCAACTCAGCACACCAAACAAGGTGCTTAAAATTGTCAAGGCACATCATCATTTTTAAGGAGAGATTTTATCATTAAAAGAACAATAAGATTGTGCTTAAAAGTTGAATAGCTGAAATTCTAATCATTCTGTTATTTTTAAAAATAATGCTGACCATGGATTTTGACAATTTGTTTATTCCTCAATTTTTTCCTTGCTTCTTTTCGATCTTCCCCCAAACTCCTGTGGCACATTGATTGAAAATAGTTGCGTTACAGAGTTAAATGTTTCCAGCCATGTTTAACATACTGAAACAGAATGCATAAAGGACATTTAAATTACTGGACTGATAATTGCGGGATGCAGTTATTTAAATGGCAAAGCAAAAGGTTTAATGTAAGTGGTATTCAAAGCAAGATATCTCTGAGGTAGGTTATATTTTCCTGCTGCCTTCAGACATGGAACTTGGTATTTTGAGGTCCCTTTCAGTTATATGCAGAAAGTCTTTACATGTGCAAAAAAAACACTATTTTTTTGACAAATTTTGTTACAGGAAATAGATCCAAATGTTGGTTTCAATGAACTGCCAGAAGAATATTTTGAAGGAGAAAATGAAGCTATGAAACTCAGTAAAGGAGTAATGCAAGAGATTTTTGGAGCATTTCCAGGAATAGACGAGGCCATGAGTTATGCAGAAGTCATGAAGTAAGTATTGCTGAAATATTACAGAAAGAGCAGGAGGTATGACACACTGCCTTTTAAAGTCATGCAGCAGTTTTACTGCCTCTTGTGGCAGGTTGGTGCTGATGAGGATGATCATAATGTTGCTTCTGAACAAGAATGAAGGGCCTGATGTTTCAAACTTCACAGTGTCATGTTTACTTTTGTAAGAGGAAGATAAATGCATGCAGAAAAATCTGTACTAGCCTTGGAAAGTCTCAAACTTTGGGTCTTTGACACAAAAGTTAAAAGAATTACCCCTAGACTAGTGTACCACAACCTTTCTTCACCCATGACACACCCTTATTTGTCAAACACAGGGTGGCATGCCTCAGAATAATTAATGTTTTAAGATTTAACAGTTTAATGTAACATATTGTCTTTTTCTAGTTGTGATATGCAATATACACATATGCAGTTAATTATAAAAGTTCACTGCACGCCTGATACCTTGTGGTCGCATACCAAGACCCCCAAATACTCGTAGGCTGGGGTTAGATTTCTGGCAGGGGTTTAGGGGTATATTTGCTCCAGCATCTGCTAGTGTACCAAGGTTCACAAGTCTCCTATACAATTGGATCCCTTGTCCTACAGGTAAGTAGGCAAAGCATGAAACTGACCTTTCACCTCCTTCCAATGCTGAGATTAAGAATGTGTTCTTCTTTAACCCCCCCCCCCTTCCTCTCCCTGTACCCTTAGGTACTACATTCCATTTTATTGTACTGACTTCAGGAACAATCTCCAGTCACTCCATTGAGGACCTCTGCTGAATCCATTATACTGTTAACTATAGTGGCAACTTTAGCATCTAGCACTCACTCATTTACCTCTATCTTTAATGCAACTTAAAAATGTTCACAGTCTCTCTTTAATTTAAAATAACATTAAAATCACATCAACTGCTACATGTTTCAGCCTTACTTGGCCATCTTCAAGCAATTGTTCACTTTTTGATACCATCACACTGTGCTAAATCTTAAGTCAATTTATTTCCATTCTATTGCATTTTTGTTGTTTACACTAAAACACATTTGTTCGAGAATGAAATTTCTCTCTCCATTCTGCAATATTTTCCTTCTGTGGCATCCATGTTTGTGCCCACTTTGTATGTACTCACTAGTTGGGCATATGTACAGTTGCCTGAAGATGGCTGAGTAAGGCCAAAACATGTAGCAGTTGATGTGATTTTATGTTATTTAAAATTGAAGAGAGACTGTGAACATTTTAAGTTGCATTCAAGATAGAGGTGATTGCTCAAATATAATATTTATTTATCTTCTATGTTTACCTTATTTTCAGACTTGTGAAGGGCATGAACTTCTCAACTGTGGTGTTCGATACAGCCCCAACTGGTCATACTCTCAGACTACTCTCGTTTCCTCAAGTGGTGGAGAAAGGCCTTGGGAAGTTGCTACGACTGAAATTGAAGATTAGTCCATTCATTACTCAGGTTGTAGACTTATCAAGAATTCATTCTGTATGTACTATGAAGCATTTTTTGTTTTTTAGGTTTTAGTTTCTAGTAACTTTTGGTCTTCTATAATATTTTGTAATTTTATTTTAATGTTTTACTTTCCTTCCTTAGATATGTTCTATAATGGGTTTGGCAGACATTAATCCTGATTCCTTTTCTACTAAACTGGAGGAGATGCTTGCCATAATTCGTCAAGTGAATGAGCAATTTCGTGATCCAGTAAGTATTATTAGCTTGGGATATTAGTTTTAAGGTTCATTGATTTGGGGGTTTGTTTGATCATAGGGTCACTTTTTATAGTCTCGGGCAAGGAGTAATCTGCTTGCAGTTTCCAACATTTTGAATAAGTGGAAGAATTGCTTCTGTCACAGCTATTGAATGCCCATGGGTTCAGTGAAGCCAGGCAGATTGAAATACACACACAGCTGAGTGCTTCTGAGGGTGAGATTGCTATTGAAAAGTTGAAAAGATATGAATCACCAGGTACTGATCAAATTCTGGCAGAAGTGATTGAAGCAGGAGGAGAGTCTTTATGTTCCAATGTCCATAATCTCATTAATTCTGTTAGAAATAAGGAAGAATTGCCTCAGTGGTGGTAGGAGTGTATTATTTTACCTTTTACAAGAAGGGCCATAAAACTGGTGGTAATAATTATAGAGGCGTACCACTGTTAAACAATTTCATACATAATTTTATCCAGGATACTCTCAAGGCTAAAGCCATATGTAAGAAAAAATACTGAGGCTTATTAGTGTGGACAGATGAACTAGAGGTCATTTTATTTTGCATTCATCAGAGAATGGCAGGAAAGTGGGACAGTACATCAGCCATTTTTAGACTTCAAGAAAGCGTATGATTCATTCAGAAGGGAAGTATTGTCCATTATTCTCACCGAGTTTGATATATCCATGAAACTAGTTAGGCAAAGTAAAATATATTTAAATGAAACCTGTAGTAAGTCTGTACATCTTCATGGAATGCATCTTGTGTTATTCTGTGAATTACTTTTAAATGTTCCTCTCTCAACACAGCAACTATCAGAATTCACTGACACTTCACAGTGCAACAGTGAGTGTATTGGTCTTATAGTATTGCAACGCGCTACATGTTTCAGCTATTAAAGCCATCATCAGGCGGTACAGTTTAACAGACACTGAATTGCACCCTGTATATGGTCCCATATAACTTAAATACTTGTTACTATATGTGTCTATTTTCCTATTTAGTTAATTTATGCAGTCATATATCTAAAATTATTTTAAGTCATCTATAAAATATACATTAAAATTGAAGTAAAAGTCTGAAATTTAAAAATGCTCAACAATATATGTGTGTGTGTGTGTGTGTGTATAAACAGGATTTAAATATCGTAAAATACATTACATTATGTTGTATTATGGTGCTTAACCAATTAATTAAAATTTATTTTCTTCTATATTTCTAGTATTTGTCGTGTACTTTTTCATTGTTATAGTTTATATTTATTGTCTAAAATATTGTTATATATGTATTATTATAATTAGAAGCTGTTATCTTAGGTGGTGGTGTTCCTACTTTTGGGCTGTTTTCCTAGAGGGGCAGCTGCATTGCTCGGAAATCAGTTGTTGATATGTTCTTTAGTGAAGAAAGCAGTCTTCTGGGATGTGGCGCTGTGTAGATGTGTTAACCGATGTTACGGATGAACGTATCGCCTCCATCTTCAAGGTAGAAGGAAAAATAAGAAAATCCGCAAGTGAAGAGACGGTGAGAACAGGTGCAAGCGGACTAATGTTGGAAATAAACTCAGCTATATGAGAGCAGGGAAGGAAGGGGACAAGTCTATATGGAAAAACAGTGGAGAGGGAGAGGGGGAAGGGCCTGGGACAGGAGCAAGGTTAGGGCAGGTATAGGGTATTGTGTCAGGGGGGAGAAAGGTAAGGTTAATGGGAGGGCATTAACATTTAATCTTGGGTGTTGCTATGTGAGTCGGTCATGGACTACGTGGCCTTGTGGACCTGGCGTCATTTCCCAGGGGGGTTTCTTAGGGAACAGATGAGAGGCCTCGATGACTTGCTGAGAGAAAACCCCCCTTCTCTGTTCATATTGTCGGGATGGAGTTCAATCTCAATGACTTCCCTAATGATGCAATCCGGCGAGGATGGAGGTATTCTGAAGCTGAATGCAGTGTCCGAAATCGATGCTGTGTTCAGCTACAGCTGACTTGTCTGGATGTTTGAGACGGATGTGCCGCTGATGCCCCTTCAACCTCATGTCCACAGAGCAGCCTCTCTGCCCTATATAGACCTTTCCGCACTCACATGGGATACTGTCTCAGCAAGTCATGGAAGCCTCTCATCTGTTCCCTAAGAAACCCCCCAGGGACATGCCGCCAGATCCACAAGGCCACACAGTCCATGACCGACTCGCATAGCAACCCCCCAGATTAAGGGTTAATGCCCTCCCATTAACCTTGCCTTTCTCCCCCGACACAATATCCTATACCTGCTCTAAACTTGCTATGGCTCCCCAGACCCTTCCCCTCTCCCTCTCCACTGCTTTCTCACGTAGACTTGTCCCCTTCCTCTCCTGCTCTCATATAGCTGAGTTTATTTCTGACATTAGTCTGTTTGCACCTGTTCTCACTGTCTCTTCGCTTGCAGATTTTTTTATTTTTCCTTCTACCCTGAAGATGGAGGCGATACGTTGATAGCTTTATGGCTGATAATTGTTTATGTTTATATAATCTGTACAGTTGAAATCTCTATCTCTGCTGCATGCAAAAGTAGGCCATTTGGTCCGGTTGGTTTTTTCATACGATGAAAGAAACATGTATGGTACCATAATTTCTCTAACTGTTCAGGGCTTCTTGACAGCAGAAAATTTAGCTTTGATAATGAAATTATGGAGCTGATGTTGTAATGCATCAGCTGTCAGCACTGGTGAATTGACTCTTGTTGGAACATGTGACCACATTATTCACCAGTTTAGTGTCAAACAGTTACAGGGACAATTTGTTTTGTAACTGCAGTATGTGTTTATATATAGCATATTGTATGGTTTGTCAAAGACAGGGTGGGGCACAGAATCTTTCTTTTTGTGAAGACACATTGTGAAGAGAGGGGAGGTCACAGAAAAGTGGGGATAGGCTCGGCAAATGCAGCAGTCACGGAAGTTTCTGTCAAATACCCCTCAGTAGGAAACATGAGGTGGACGAGTGAGCAGCGTGTGTTTGCTGTTGAAGCCTATTTTTCGAACAACCATTCCTATGTGGCGGTGCAGTTTGCGTTCCGTACTCGCTTCGGAGGTCTGGTTCCTGACCAGAAATCGATTGTTTTGTGGGTAGAGAACTTTAGGACAACCGGGAGTGGTAAAAAAATCATCAGGACGACAGCGGACCGTTACGACGCCAGAAAATGTGGAGGCAGTTTGACAGTTGATTTTGAGATCTCCAAGACGCTCCGCTTGCAAACATGCAGTCGCCCTAGACATATCCAGTTGTTCAATGCACCGAATTCTTCACAAACATCTTCATTTCCATCCCTATAAGATGGTTGTTTTGCAAGAATTGTCACCACGTGATTTCCAGAACTGAATGGTGTGCGAAACATTATTGGAGATTTTACCCCCTGACGCACTTGTTTTCTTTAGTGATGAGGCACATTTTCTCCTATCCAGATATGTCAACAAGCAGAATATGTGCTATTGGAGTGGTAACAATCCCAGAGAGCTCCATGAGAGGCTACTTCACAGTGATAAGGTGACAATATGGTGTGCGTTGTCGAGAATTGGAGTCATTGGCCCCTATTTTTTTTGAAGAAGACAATCATGCAGTTACTGTCAATTCACAGTGGTATGTCGACATGATTAAAAACTTTTTCGAACCAGCTCTTGAAGAAATGCATCTAGGAAATGTCTGGTTCCAACAGGATGGTGCCATGGCCCACAAAGCCCAAGCTTCAATGACAGTTTTGAGGGCAAAGTTCCCTGGACGGCTCAGCTCGCTTCGAGGTGACATCCTGAGGGCAGCGCACTCACCTGATCTAATACCCTATGATTTTTTTATGGGGATACCTCAAGGCAGAAGTTTTTAAATGTTGCCCCACAAACCTGCTTCAGCTGAAGAATATTATTCTGCAGGAAGTAGCCCAAATTCCGGTGCACATGTTGGAACGTGCAGAGGGGAACTTCAGAAAACTGTTGCATCAGTGCATAGAGAATGGTGGCCACCACCTTCAAGATATTTTGTTCAAAACTACATGATTTAAAACTTTAAAGTATGTTCTTTCATTAGCTAAACAAATTTTATCAGCAATAATTTTTCTTTTATTCACATTCAAAAAAGGAAGTTTCTGCGCCCCATCCTGTACATGGGTGACAAATGGTTAAAAAAGAAAATTAGCATTAAATTTTTTGTGAAATTGGATATGCCACCAAAATGTTATAGAAAGTTCGTAAAGTGGGAATTGATTAAAGCACAAGATTTTGTGACAGTTAAGTGATTTGAAGACAGACAGGACAGAAGATGAACAATCCTTCCATCCAACAGCTTCAAATCTGGGAAAAATATGAAAAAGATAAGAAATGGTGAGATATGACTGACTGCCCAACCACTCATAGGAGCAGAATAGAGATCTGATTTTGATGAAGTGTCTGAACATGAAGATCAGTTCCCAAGTGATACCAATGGCTAGCTGATAATGAGAAAATTTGCCCAAACCTTTCAGATGGGTCTTGGGGAAGCCTGATTTTTTGGAAAAAACAGTAACTTGTGATGAGACCAGGGTATTCTAGAATGACCCACCCAGAAACAGAACGCCATAGTCCCTAATATGAAGGTACAGAGTCTCAGGCCTGGAAAAGTTATAAGTGCTGAAAACAAAGGTGAAATCAGTGCACATCATTTTGTGATAACAGAAGAATTATCCTTAAAAATGTGTTCCTTCAAAACAAACAGTCAAACAAACATTCTACCTTCAAGTTTTTGTATCTTATGGTAGTGCATCCATAAAAAACACACCATATCCTCAGCCAGATAAATAGATTTGGTATCACAACAATGCACCATCCCACATACTATTTAACAGTGAAGAAATTTTTGGCCAGAAAACAAATAACAGAGTTGGAATGTCTACCATACTCACCTTATTTGTTTCTTTGTGGCTTTTCATGTTCCCACAAGTGAAAGTCATCTTGCAAGGGTCCCATTTTGAATTGGTTGAAGAAGACATTTGAAATCATGTGATGAAAGTACTGAAAGAGTATTTGAATAATTATTTTCAGCAATGTTTTGAGCCATGATAGTGACATTTGATTGCATGCATAAAGTCAGAAGGTAAGTACTTTGAAGATGTACACTCTCAACAAAGGCCATTGACTATGTATTTTATTGCAGAATTGGTATGTTTATTGCAGACCTCATATGTTACCATGGAAGGTTTCTATAAATATGAATCTGGAAGGAAGGTGTTCCCTAACCCAAGAATGTATGAATTCAGGATTATGTTGGAAGTTGTTTAGATCCATTATTAATGGTGTAATGCGTTAGAATTGAAACTAAGAGATGTGGATACTAACAGGAGGTTCTTTGCTTTACAGGAGCAGACAACATTTGTTTGTGTCTGTATTGCTGAATTTCTATCTCTGTATGAGACAGAAAGATTAGTACAAGAACTCACAAAATGTGGTATTGACACACACAACATTGTTGTGAACCAGCTGCTGTTTCCTGGAAAAGATGAACGGCCTTGTCGAATGTGTGCTGCAAGACATCGTGTGCAGGAGAAATATTTGGATCAGGTCAGCATTTTAGAATATCGTGTTTTGCTTCTGAAGCGGAAACAGAGAGGTACTTCCTTCATCCTGTTGCAAATGTGTGTAAGAATTGTCTGCTGTTTCATAAATGTAGTCACCCTTAGCATATGAGATATAGATCTGTGCTGAAATAAGGAGAAGGAAAGTCTTGAAAATCAAACATTTTCCATGGTATGCCATTTTGAAATGTATACGAATTACAATAGAAAACAACTGTGGCTTTAGCATATTCATTCCGTGCCATACAAGGTACCATGTTTAGCCAAATTACAATAATCTGCCTTCTAAAACCTTCATAAATTAATGATTTTTCCTTTTATTTTTTCAGTCACGGTAGTTCCTGTTATGCAGCCGATCAGCCATGATTTATGATGTTTAAGTTCTGTTTAATTTTATGCACTTCTAATAGTATTGTCACATGTAGAGTGGCACGTGGTGAAAATAATGGATTCTAGTTTGGATGATTGGATTTACTGGCACTTCAGTTAAAAGTTCTCTTAATCACACTTAATACAGCACTATTGCTGATTTACACAAGTTACAGTTCATCGTTGCACACATACTAGGATTCTCCATCTTCACTAGTCGTCTTCTGGCATCGAATCTCAACGCAGGAACCATAATAGTCTCACTGAATTACACACTCTAAATATTGCATGTAAAGTCTTCTCTTCATATCTGCACTCTTGCAACTAACTCTTAACTACACTGCACTGCATTCTGCACTATTCTAATCTAAGCTGCAACAGGTCTTCATTATAGCCTCCACATGGACCACATAGAAAACAAATCATGTGATTCCTAGCCAGTGACTTCATTGGTGTGCTGACTGTTGCCTAGCAAACAGCAATAACATTTGTCCACTGAGACACATCTTCCATTGTTGCACGTTAACAGTGTTTACTGAGCCATTACCTAGAAACGCTTTGAGCAAATCTGTTACATTGCTACCTCCTTAAGACTGTTCATCCCAAATAGCCTAATGGTGCGTCACCTTTCCTTCCTCTCTGGGGACTGTGCTTACAACATCTTCCTGCAAGTTGTTCTTTTCTTTTTTTCTGTGATGTTCATTCTCTGAGCACTCCCATTGCTCCCTCCTCAAGGCTGCTCGCCCTGAGTGAATCACTGCTAATTTGCTAGTAGATCCAGATTTATCACCATCATCCAAAGGTTTTCTTATTTTTTTTCCTCTTTCCTACAGTGGGCCATAACCCCTGGAGTGGCCGGTGCTCCTATATGTCTGGCTTCTCTTATGCTAATGCTGCTAGTAGAATGTTCTTCCGTTTTGGAGGGTGTCAACCACTCTACCATGCCTAGGCCTTGATTTTCCACTCTGGAGGGGACTGATCCTCCACAAGGTCCAGTTCCTCATTTTCCACAACTGGCTGGAAATCCCTACTGCTTCCTTCACGATCTCCAGCCCAATGGTCTTCCTGTACATCCTGCTCAATGTCCTCTCACTTCCAAGCCATAGCTGCTCCTTGAATTCTCGGTTCCTGGTTCCATGAGTGCCTTCTGGGTGCATCAGGTGTCTCCTTCCGAGCATCTGCCCTTTCCACGTTCCTCTTGCAAATTTATTCCTGGCCTGATTCTTCCACCATCCCTGTTCGATTGACGGTCCTTCATAACTGCGTCCCTGGAGCCCACGTTCCTTGCGCTATGCCATTTTTGCACAGTGCAGGCAGAAGCCAAATTCCTCAAGGATCCACAGTCTCCTCGGATCAGTTCCTTTGGCTTCCCATGTCACCTTGCAGCTAAATGCCAGTCCCTGTGCTGCTTCTTCAGTGTTCCAGAAGATCTTATGGCCTCACCCTTGGAGACCTCATGATGCTGCCCTGTGAACCGCATCATTCATGGATTTGTCTCTGTCTTCTCTGGATTGGCCTCCATCATTTCTTGGCAGGTCATCATCTCTTCCCTCCAGGCATTCATATCGGTTCCCATCCCCCTGTCTCGCATGGCTTTCATTTCTGCATCTATCTTTTCTTGCCAGGCCCTCATCTCCTGAGAAGTGATCTCCAGCTCAGTGGTTATGCCCAAGGTTTCATTGAGTCAGTTATTTATTCCAAGGGTAGCAGTTGTTGAATAAAGAACAAAGGCCCATGGGCTCTGTGTATATCCCAAATGTGAATGGTGTTTCTGAGAAGTTCAAATGTATAGGGATTCAATACAACATCAGGATGATCTTCAGAACTAAGCACACACTTAGGAGTTCACTCATGAGAACAAGGCCAGAGATTGCAAGAGATGGCACAGTGCATCTACAATATTCCCTGTGAGTGTGGAGGAAGCTACATTGGTGAAACAGGCAGACCTATAGCTGTGCGGCTCCATGAACATAGGCACAATCCCCAACAGGGTGTTCTAGAAAAATCAGAATAATCCAACATGCATATGAAGAGGGTCATAGAGTAGACTGGATGATGCTAGGATTTTGAAAATTGAAAGAAACAACATGTATAGAGAATACAAGGAATCAGCCCATATGGCATGCTTAACGAATCCATTTCTCCTATCTGGATCCCCTTCATCAGGAATGAGGTTTCTAATTCACAGAGAAGAATGTATGACATGACAGATTCTTCATGGGTTTCCATAAGGTTCCAGTCTCGAGTGTTCAGGTTTTACTCCACAGGTGGCACTAGCAGTAGATACATGTCTTCACAGATTTTTTTTTTTCCATTTCTTTGCATTGGTGCTCATGCACTTTGTTTTGTTGGTTGGGGTTGTAGCACAAATTTATACCTCATTTTCTATCCTAGTTCCACATGTGTATGCTTACCACAATTTTTATTGTATATTTTCTTGTTATATCTTGCTGAATTAGCCTGGTTATCAGATGATTAATAGATGTGTGAATCTGACAAGGGCTGTCCAGTGATTGAAGTTAGCTCTTTCTAAGGGACCCAACTGAGTGGGTGTCTTCCCCCCCCCCCATCTGAGGATGGAAACAGATCCAGTTTCCAAAATGTCTTCTTTTCTAGTCTGTAGAATACAGGACGATGGAAAAGGTCCAAAAACCCAGTAATTCTGAGACTACAGATACTGTGTACATTTCTTTATTAATACGGTGTTCAACTACCTTTTCCCTTCAGTACAGCTGCAATCCATGGAATGGACATCTTTTGCCTTCAGGAGAAAATATTCATGGCAATTGGAACTTGGTAAATTCAAAGCATGGAACTAAAACAGCTAATACCTTGAGGCATATACCAGTTCCAGTTAAAACTTCTAATCACTATAATTTATTTATTCTCAAAATCTTAATAATGGTGATGTCATGAATGGCAAACTCACCAAGCCAAGTAATTCCAAACATAAACTATTCCTCATCAGCTAAGATCTGCCATATTCAATCAAAGAAAGTTGCTAAATATGAAACGTCACCAAACCAGCAACACAATGAACACAAAAATGTGCATCCAACACAATTTGCTGCTGGACACGTGAAGTTGCTGTGTGCTGAAGAGGAGTCAACTTACCGTATTCCAACCGTGGTCAGCAGTGTAACTATTACAGGAGCTGGGGATGGAATATTGTCTTCAGCCAACAATAAGTTAATTGCCAGCAATCGTGACCCACTCATGAACTTGTGTTCCAACGGAAAGCAGCATAGACGTAATAAGTCCAATAAATTTAAATTGATTCATCTTTCACAGAATCCTGACCCAAACTCAACAAAAAGAGGTAGAAAATAGAATGTCCTCTAGACAAAGGAGAACACCTGTAAACAAGAAATGAGGATTTTTTATGGTGAAATGGACTTCTGGCTCGGCTTATAATAATTTAGACAGATTGAATAATACTTACCAAATACTGAATCAAACCAAGATCATTTGAGAATTAACACTCAATCCTATGCTAACAACAGATTTTTACTATATTCTTCTGATAGTAAGTCACTCAATATATATCATCAGAATATTAGGGGCTCACAAGGCAAAACAAATGAGCTTATAAGTTCCTGGTATCCATAACTGCCACATTTGTAATGTTTAATGGAACATCACCTAGATTACCCAGAGCATTATAATCATGGTACTCAGTATTATAGACAAGCTCTTAGACAAGGTGGAGTATGTATTTTTGTACATATAAAATTTAAATTCTCAAATGTTGAATGAATTTTGCAAAGAGCAAGCAAGGGTTAGAAGTATGTGCAGTTAAACTTAAATTTCCATTTGGCAGTGTCTGTATTCTGTTCATCTGGTAAGTTTTCATATTTCCTAAATGGCTTAGATGCCATTCTAAAATCCCTATATAGTACTAATTTAGAATTCATTATCTGTGGCGATATAAACATAAATTATCTTGTTGACAATAAGAGTAAAAACAATTAGACACCTTGTTATCTTCTTTTAACCTTTTTAGTACAATGCACTTTCCTATTAGAATCCAAAATAATTTGATCTCTACAACAGATAACATTTTTACTGATATCAACAGAAGTGGAAATTATATTGTAAGTCTGCTTGCTAATGGTCTGTCTGATCATGATGGCCAGATTACTTACTTATGGAACTGAGCCCTTCTTGAGAAGCTGCCAATTGTGCAGCCACACAAGAATTTCCCAGCATTTTATGGAACCTGAAGGTTAATTACCGTGTTTACGAGAGCCCTCCACTCGTCTCTATCCTGAGCGAGATCAGTCCAATCCACACTATCCCATCCTGTCTCTCCAAGATCCATTTTAATATTGTCCAACCACCTACACCTTGGTCTTCCCAGTGGTCTCTTTCCTTCTGGCTTTCCCGCCAATATTTTATATGTATTCCGCGTCTCCCCCATTCGTGCTACATGCCCTGCCCACCTCATCCTCCTTGACTTGATCATTCTAATTATACTTAGAGAAGATTACAAGTTATGAAGCTCCTCTTTATGCAGTTTTCTCCAACCTCCTGTCACTTCATCCCTCTTCAGTCCAGATATTCTCCTCAATGCCCTGTTCTCAAATATCCTCAGTCTATGTTCCTCCCTTAATGTGA